CAAGAGCAGTGTATTCTGAGCCCTCTGCCTTCAGCTGCGATCCCAGGCACTGGAGCCAGGCTCTGGGTAGGTGGGGGTAAGGGCGCTTCCTCCCACGTGCTCTCAGGGTTATCTTGCTCCACTCTCGCTATCTGCTCTCCTAGGGTGTTGGCTTCATGAGGTCACCCTCCCACAAAAGCTCTCGCCCCAGTAGAGGTCTTCCCTTTAGGCTGCATGGGCCCTCCAGGATCCTTGGTGTTCCTGCAAACGAACATCCTCTCCCCCATTCCTTCCCTCTCAGAGGCCTCCTGCAGTCCTGGATGGCAGTCTTGGGGGGGGGGGGGGGGGGGATGAAGTTTTCTCTTACCTCATTCCACCTCCTCTAAGCAGGGCTCCAGCCTTTCCACCTGTTGTCATATGGCTGTGTGTGTCTCTCCGATGTTATCTGTGTTGTGTTTGGATATCCTCTGTTGGAGTATGGATATTTTTTCATTGTATGTTGGAGGGGGAAGATTACTGGGAAAGTTTACTCTGCCATGATGCTGACGTCCCAATCCTCCTCTTTTTTGCTAGGAAGACTGGCCCTGAGCTAATATCCGTGCCCATCTTCCTCTACTTTATATGTGGGATGCCTGCCACAACATAGCTTGATAAGCGGTGCATAGGGTCCAAGCCTGGCATCTGAACCAGCGAATCCCTGGCCACCAAAGCAGAGCATGCGAACTTGACTGACACCACTGGGCTGGCCCCTTGCTTCATATATTTTGAAGGCCTGTTTTTGGGTGCTTAAAACTTTAAGATTGTTATATCTTCTTAACAAATTAACCCCTTTTTAAAATCAATTTGAAATTTCTCTTTAACTGTGACAATATTCTCTACTCTGAAATCTACTTAGTCTGCTATTACTACAGCCATTCTAGTGATCAGTGTTTGCATGGTATGTCTTTCTCCATCTTCTTACTTTTATTTATCTATGTCTTTGTATTTAATGTGAGTTTTCTGTAGATAGCATCTAGCTGGTTCTTGTGGGGTTTTTTTTTCTTCTCCCCAAAGCTGCCTAGTACATAGTTGTATATCCTAGTTGCAGGTCCTTCTAGTTCTATATAGCTATATGGGATGCTGCCTCAGCGTGGCCTGATGAGCAGTGCTAGGTCTCAACCCAGGATCCAAACTTGTGAAACCTGGGCCACCAAAGCAGAGCACATGAACTTAACCACTCGGCCACAGGTCTAGCCCCCTTGCTTTGTTTTTTTTTTTTATCCAATCTGACAATCTCTGCCTTCTAATTGAAATGTTTAGACTATTTCATTTCCTGTAATTATTGATATGGTTGGCTTTAGATTTATTATCTTATTGTTTTCTACTTGTACTATCTGTTCTTTTTTTATGCTTCTTTGAATTTATTATTTTTTAACATTCCATTTTGTCACTACTGACTTACTAGCTACACTTCTTTTTCAGTGACTGCTCTTAGCATTTACAACACACGACTTTAATTTATTTCAGTCTACATTTAAATAGTACTATACTACTTGATGTACAGCCATGCACTGCATAATGGTATTTCAGTCAATTACAGACCACAAATATGATGGTGGTCCTGTAAGATTAGTACCATATAGCTTAGGTGTACAGTAGGCTATACCACCAAGGTTTGTGTAAGTACTTTCTGTGAGGTCCACACAAGGATAAAATCACCTAATGATGCATTGCTCAGAGCATACCCCCATCATTAAATGACACGTGACTGTATAATGTAAGAACTCCACAATGATATACTTCCATCCCCTACTCCCTGCTTCTATGTACTATTTTTGTCATACAATAAACGCTACAATACATTACTGTTGTTTTAAACAGTCCACTGCTTTTTTTCAAACAATAGTGTTGAGGTATAATTTACATACCACAAAATTCACTCATTAAGTGTACAACTCACTAATTTTTAGTAAACTTACAGTTGTTCAACCATGAGCAAAATCCAGTTTTAGAACATTTCCAATACTCCACAAAGATCCCTTTTACCCGTTTCCAGTCAACCCCCATTCCCACTCCCAGTCTCACGTGACCACTAATCTGCGTCTGTCTCTATAAACTTGCCTTCTCTGGACATTTCACATAAATAGAATCAAACAATATATGTTCTTTCCACATGGCTTCTTTCACTTACAGTATTTCTGAGGTTCACCCATGTTGCAGCATGTATCAGTTCATCCTTTTTATTGTAGAATAATATTTCATTACCTGGCTATGTCACATTTTCTTTATCATTTTATCAGTTGGTGGACATTTGGAGTGTTTCCACTTTTTGGCTATTAGGAATAATGCCGCTATGAACATCTGTGTACAAGTGTTTGTGTGAACGTATCTTTTCACTTCTCCTGGGTAGCTACCTAAGAATAGAGTTGCTCAGTCATATGGAATCTCCTTGTTTAATATTTTGAGGAACTGTTTTCCACAGTGACTGTACATTTCCCACCAGGAACGTATGTGCTCCAGTTTTTCCACATCCTAATCAACACTTGTTATTGTCTGTCTTTTTGATTACAGCCATCCCAGTGGGCACAAAGTGGTATCTCATTGTAGTTTTGATTTGCATTTCCCTAATGATTAATGATGTTGAGCATCTTTTTATATGCTCACTGGCCATTTGTATATCTTCTCAGGAGATTGCTGCAGATTGTTCCTGATGAGAAATCTGCTCTCACACTTAGTGTTGTTACTCTGCATTCAATGTGTCTTTTTTCTCTGGCTGCTTTAATATTTTTCTCTTTACTGCTCATTTTGATCAATCTACATACAGTTTTATTTTCATTGTGCTTGGGTTCATTAAGTTTCTGCAATGTGTGTGTTTATAGTTTTGGAAAGTTTTTGACGATTATTTTTTCCAATTTTTTTCTCCTGTCCTTCAGAGACCCCAACTACACATGTATTAGGCCACTTGATTCTCACAGCTCACTAACACTATTTTTTTAAATTATTTTTTTCCTCTGTGTTTCACTTTGGGTAGATTCTATATCTTTGCTATAGAGAGATCTGCTATATCTTCAAGTTGAATGATTTTTTCCCTGTAGTATCTACTCTGTTGTTAGTCCCCATCCAGTGTATTTTTCATCTCAAGCACTGTAGTTTCTATCTCTAGAAGTTAGATTTGCATCTTTTTAAATATCTCCCATGTCTCTACTTAACTTTCTGGATACATGGACTATTTTTATAATAACTATGCCCTTGTCTGCTAATTCTAACATCTGTTTCAAGTCTAAGTCACTTTTGATTGATTTTTCTCCTCCCTATAAATTGTGTTTTTCTTCTTCTTTGCATGCCTAGTAATCTCTGATTGGATGGCAGACATTGTGAATTTTATCTTGTTGGGCTCTGGAAATTTCTGTACTCTTATTAATGTACTTGTGCTTTGTTCTGGGAGGTAGTTAACTTACTTGGAAACAGTTTGATCCTTTCTGGTCTTGTTTTTAAGATTTGTTAGTGGGGCCAGAGCAGTGTTTACCCAATCCCAATTATTCCCCCCTGTTGAGGCAAGATGAGTACTCCACTCAATGCCCTGTGAGTCTTGAAGTTTTCCATCTGGCTGGTATAAGCAAGCCAGTGTGCGCACTGGATATAGTTCCTTCTGAACCTTCTGAATATTTCTTTCCCTGGCGTGGGTAGTTTCCTCACATGCATCGGCTGATCAGTAGCCTGATAAATACCCAAGGAGGACCCCTTTTACAGTGCTCCACTCTCCAGTGTTCTGTCCTGAAAACTCACCCCACCTCTGCCTTCCCGCAGTCTCAGCTCTGTCTCAACTCAAGCAGTCCTCGAGGCTCCAGCTGGGTTCTCCTCCCTGAGCCACAGCCTGGAAACTCTCTCAAAGTGAGAACTGGGACAATCACAGGGCTCATGTTGTTTGTTTCCCATTTTGTCAGAGATTGCTGTCCTTCAGGACCTGATATCAGTATCTTGAAAACCGCTGTTTCTTTTGTGGGTGTGTGATTTGTTTTTCTAGACAGGAGAGTAAATCCAGACCCCATTATTCCATCTTAACCAAAAGTGCAAGTTTAAAGTCTAATGGCATTTTTAATAACCCCTCAGACACAAGAAAATATCGAAGTGTAGGAGAATAATTATTCTTACTTTAGTGAATTTTATTGTATTACCATTTCTTATTCTGGACTTTCTTGGTTTCTAAATTCTAAGGCTGGAAGACCCTTTCATAGATATTTTATGGCTAAAGTTGTAATATCTCAGGGAGATTTTAGCAATGGCTACATATCGTATAGTAGACACTTATTAAATATGACATTATAATTTTTTTCAAGAAATTACCCAGGGAAGCCTCACAATTGTCTAAATTTCCTGCTTAAAGATTACTGGTTTAGAAAACATGAGATCACAATTCAAAGTAATTTAACTGTGAACTATCTGTGTAAATTGCTAAAGGCCATTACTGTGGTTACTTAAAATACAGTAAAATTAATACTAAGATCATAACTTTTGTGTCTTCCTTTTCTCTAGGCTCCTACATTTCATCTATCTCCTATGCTTAAAGAATCTTCCTTCTTTCTCTCAAAGTCATCTTTGCCTTTCAATGCCTTTCAATGCTGCACCATACTTGTTGTTCAATCCTTTACCAATCACCCAAATATTTCCAAAGCCTCATAGGCTACCAGTCTCTAGTCATTTATTTATCCCTTAAATCTATCAGGTTTACTGCCCCCATATTAAAGTTTCTAAAGTATTTTACAATTTCTCATAAAGTTTCAATTTCATTTCATTATTATAATATAAAAGTTAAAACTTTTTGGCATTAAATTAGTCACATTTCTGGGTAGAAGGTAACAGGAATTACTGTTTTAGTTCACATTCCTGAATACTTACAAACACACCCACCTCCACTCCAACCTAGTGGCTTTTAAAGAAACATCTCAAGAATAGAGATAACTCCTCAGAGTTCCTATTTCTAAAACAAAACGACAAGACACGAAGTTTATCAAAGCAGTGCTAAGATAATGGAATACCCTCACCAGTGCCTGGCTGACATTTCCTCCGGTGGCCAGTGATTTGAAATGGCTGCTATTATAGACCAGTTGGACTTCTGAGATCTCCACTGTTTCCAGTTCCTCTTGAGTTTGCCGATCAATCACATGCAACTTCTCCACACTGTCCAAGAGCACAACCGTGCGTGAGTTTATCCACTGCAATTCAAGTACACAACAAAACATAGGTGAGGCCCATCCCACACCATCATTCAGGACAAGCAGCAAGCTTGGCCACCCAGTTAAATCATGTTGAGGACTTTGTCATTTAATAACTTGATGATGACACAATCACAGCAAGAACTACTCAGTGACAGCCCAGTGAACAGTAGGTGCATAACACAGTACTGAGTTTTGACAGTGCTAAAACGACACTTTCATAGTGTAAAAGAAAGCTAAGAGCTTTAATATATATTACAGGATATATTGGCTTTTATAAAATTTTTTAAAAGGCACATCGGCACAAATGACTTAAGAAAAGTGACAAACTAGTTTTTATGACATTAATAAAAGGGCAAATTAAATTTCATACACATAAGTGGTCAAAGGATGATGGTTAAAATGTAAATAATACATATTTTAAAATAGAAGCTATTTAAAATATACAATTCCTTCAAAACCTCCCTAAGAATTATGGGAGAGTTTTTTGCTCTATTTTTCTGTATCTTCTGAATTTTCTTTAATAAGTACTACTGTAATTTTAAAAGTAATAAGTAAATAACAATGTTAAAAATCTTCTGAAGGATGCCATTTTGATCAATTTGTTGGGTTATGTAAAAGATTTCTTATTTTCAAAACATTTTAATTGAAAGCCCAGAAATAAAACCACACATCTATGGAAAGCTCATCTTCGACAAATAAGCCAAGACTATACAACGGAGAAAGGAAAGTCTCTTAAATGGTGTTGGGGAAACTGGACAGCCACATGCAAAAGAATGAAAGTATACCATTATCTTTCACCATACACAAAAATTAATTCAAAATGGATTAAAGACTTGAAGGTAAGACCTGAAACCATAAAACTCTTAGAAGAAAATATAGGCAGTACACTCTTTGACATCGGTCTTAGCAGCATCCTTTTGAATACCATGTCTACTCAGGCAAGGGAAACAAAAGAAAAAGTTAACAAATGGGACTCTATCAGACTAAAGAGCTTCTGTGAGGTCAAGGAAACCAGGAACAAATGAAAAGACCATCCACTAACTGGGAGAAAATATTTGCAAATCATATATCCAACAAGCGCTTAATCTCCAAAATATATAAAGAATTCATGGGGCTGGCCCCGTGGCCGAGTGGTTAAGTTCGCGCGCTCCGCTGCAGGCGGCCCAGTGTTTCGTCGGTTCGAATCCTGGGCGCGGACATGGCACTGCTCGTCAGACCACGCTGAGGCGGCGTCCCACATGCCACAGCTAGAGGAACCCACAACGAAGAATACACAACTATATGTACCGGGGGGCTTTGGGGAGAAAAAGGAAAAAATAAAATCTTTAAAAAAAAAAAAAAAAAAAATTTAAAAAAAATAAAAAATAAAAAAAAAAAAGAATTCGTACAACTCAACAACAAAAAAACAAACGACCTGATCAAAAAATGAGCAGAGGAGGGGCTGGCCCCGTGGCTGAGTGGTTAAGTTCGCATGCTCCGCTTTGGTGGCCCAGGGTTTCACCAGTTTGGATCCTGAGCGCGGACGTGGCACTGCTCATCAAGGCATGCTGAGGTGGCATCCCACATTGCACAAGCAGAGGCACTCACAACTAGAATATACAACTATGTACTGGGGGTCTTTGGGAGAAGAAGAAAAAAATGAAGACTGGCAACAGATGTTAGCTCAGGTGCCAATCTTAAAAAAAAAAAAAATGGGCAAAGGATATGAACAGACATTTTTCCAAAGACAATACACAGATGGCCAAGAGGCACAAAAAAAGATGTTCAACATCACTAATTATTAGGGAAATGCAAATTAAAACTACAACGAGATATCACCTTACAACTGTTAGAATGACTATAATTACAAAGAAAAAACATAACAAATGCTAGAGAGGATGTGGAAGAAAGGGAACCCTCATATACCACTGGTGGGAATGTAAACAACCCAGCTATCCCACTACTGGGTATTCATCCAAAGAACTTGAAATCAACAATTCAAAGAGACTGATACACCCCTATGTTCACTGCAGCATTATTCACAACACCCAAGATGTGGAAGCAACTCAAGTGCCCATCAGCTAATAATGGATTAAGAAGACGTGGCACATATATACAAAGGAATACTAATCGGCCATAAAAGAAGACAAAATGGTCCCATTCGCAACAACATGGACAGACCTTGAGGGTATTATGTTAAGTGAAATAAGGCAGACAGAGAAAGACATACACCTCATGATTTCACTTGTAAGTGGTAGATAAAGAAATACATGGACAAAGAGAACAGATTAGTGGTTACCAGAGGGGAAGGGGTTTGAGGTGGGCATAAGGGTAAAGGCACACATATACATGGTGACTGACAAATAATAATGTACAAGTGAAATTACACAATGTTATAAACTATTATGACCTCAATAAAATAATTTTTAAAAATCTCAATCCCTCCAAAGAAACAAATGAAGTTTTAAAATCTACTCAATTAGAATTCTAAATCAGTCAGAACAAAAATTCATGTTGGTTTATTTATCTGACCCATCCCATGTTATGAGATGTTATTTGCAAAATACCATGTCAAAGACAACAAAGTTGAAAATGGATCAATTTTCTTTTGACATATGCTGAAGACATACTCTATCACTCTAAAGGCTACCATGAGGGAAAGATTCCAGGCTTTTTCCAAAAAAAATATTCTCTCTCAGAAAACAGCCTGATACTCAGATCTTTTACAAAGAGCTCTTAGAAGGTACTCTCTTTATTACTTTGAAAAACAAAGTTATCATTTAGGAGAAACATATTATTTAGCCTTACACATTCTCAGTCTGTGATAGTTTTTAAATGCTTTCAAAGGTTACCTGATTAAAACAGAGAGAACCAGTGACAGGGAAACAATGTTAGCAGGTTTAGCAAACATTCCTGAGATTAGACCCTCACAATTGCAAGTATTGACATTGCTGTAAGTCAGCCTTTTAAACGTAATTTACAAAGCAATGCAGTTAGTGGTCACATCACGGATAAACCACAGGACAAATGAAAACACCGACTGTCCTACTGTTAGGAGAATGGCTACTTGAAGTAGGGGAAAAATTTTCCAGGGACAGAGTCACATGAAGATTTTAAAGTGCTGTGTTTCAGACATCTTAAACAGAAGTGATGATGATCAATTCTAGAAAACTGTGTTAGATGATTCAACAAAGGGTTCTGGTGACAAAGACACTGATGTCTTATATCCGTGAGAAGAGTTTGAACAAAACTATTTCATGAAATGAGTATGGGAAAAAGTATTATTTCTAAATCAATAGTCTATATGTGAGATTAAATGTGTAACTAATTAATAAATCATATATTATAAAGAAAAGATCTATTACATCTATATCCTAAAAAGTTGCATATTATCAAGTTAGGGGAAAAAACTTTTTTTTTAGCCTTTTTACTGGAAAAATAAGGCACTGCCTTATATTTAGAGCTGCCCATATTCATGCACATACAGAATGTTTCACTCAATATGACATACCGATGTGCTAAAACCATTAATGATAGAGAACCCAGAAACATAATTACAGTACTCACAGAATTAACACAGTTTGAAGAAGAAAAAAACAATAATTTGATACAAAAAGAAATAACCTCTTTTTTAAACCAAAAAGTCACTCAGGACTGAGATGTATGATGGAGAAAAAACTCTGCAAAGTTTTTAGTCACAAGGAAAGAATAGGTATAAAAGTTCCTGAACCAATTGGGACAAGCTCAGAAATATGAAAATGTGTTTACAAAAATCCCAGGCAATGATCCTAAAGAAATCCACCTAAATTCTTCTGAGTATTCTTCTGACATTAAAGAAAACTTTTCCTGATCCTACCAGTGTTCAGCAGGACATAAAGCTGAAAGACAATAAAAATACCGTGGCATCATGCCAAACTCAGACTTCATTCAATAAAAGCAAGACTTCACTTCTGTCCATATTTTATACGATCCTAAAGGTCATGGTTCATGGCAGTGATCCTAGCAGCTTTAATACCTCATGGACTCAAAACAATTACATGAAATAGGTGGAGATATTTAATCTGAATAATACTCACAGTAAAGTTGATGAGGTCATAGTATAGGTGAAGATGCTTTTGCTTAGTAACATGTATTGCTCCAGATTCATCTCTCTTAACCTGATGATAAAATAAAAACAACCTAAACATCAGCTATTGTTTGAGGGACTTTTTTGGATACTTAATTATACTCTACCTGGAACATGATTTCCTTTCAGAGTATGGATAAGCCAAAAATACCCAAAATTAAAGAAACTATTATATAAATGAAAAAAATCATTCACACTATGATTTGTACCAAAGTCCAAGACATATCTGATCAGTGGTCTAGTTGTCAGTATTAGCAATACTGTAACGTAACTTTTACTCTCTCATAACTCAGAACAACCTACTTTGATCACATCAACTTTTGTATTTAGCTAGAGTTAAAGCAGAAAATGGGATTGGTAACACAATGCAATAAAGCCAAACAGAAGTTCATTTAAAAAAGAAAAAAAGAAGCTACAGTGACAAACTTTTCTAAATATATTACTGTTATAGTTCAAACAGCCCAAAATTTCTCAAAAGAACCTTGAGTGTCTATTTTATTTATATATATGTATATATACACTCTATAATCTTCAATAATCCTTATAATTTGCTTTCTCCACTTCTCCAAGATGACAGAGCACTGAAAAAAGAGACAAAGCACAATATACACCTGAAATTCATAACATCCCATTCAACCTGGGTTTTCTTGCATACGCCCCATAGTGGTGCTCTAGATGTCTTCCTTTCGCTTTAAGTCCCAATTCCTCTTTGCCTTCTAGTCCCATTACCTGCAGTGTGGACCTTACCAGATACCTTAACAAACAACTGAGACCACTTAATGTGGGCCCTTCAGGTACTCCCATCTTCTCTTCACTTGTAAGAAAGGATGCTCTGGTAAAAGGAGCATGGGATCTAGAGCAATGGGTTTAAGAACTAGTTCCACTATTACAGTTGTGTGAACAAGGGCAAATCACTATTCTTTCTCAGGTGCCTTATTTGTAAAATGAAAGTAAGATAGCACCGAATTGTTCCATATCTTGCACCTGTTGGAAGGGTTTCATCCTAAGATTTGCTAACATCTTTACTAAAGAAAATCATTTCACCTATATACGCTGTAAACCCTACCCGCTCCATCACGGTTTAACATTACTCCTCCTTTGCTAACATATTCAATCACTCCTTTTTAAGGGCTCTTTTCCTTTTGCTATCAAACATGTTTCCGGTTTCTTTATCTTAAAAAAAAAAACAAAACAAACAAGAAAACAAAAAACCTTCCTTTGATTTACTTCTTACAGATATTTAACTATTCTCTTTCCTCTTGCAACCAAACACTACACTATAATCGTGTGAGTCTGCTCTTCCAGAGACCCATTTCTTTAACAAGGCTCTCCAGTCTAGCTTCTTCCTCCATTCCATTGATAACTAGTCCTCTGAGAAGTTTCTAAGGAACCACTTCTTGCATATCCAGTGGTCTGATCCTGCAGTATTGGCCGTACTTCTTTATTTATTTCTTTTTTAAAGATTTTATTTTTTTCCTTTTTCTCCCCAAAGCCCCCAGGTACATAGTTGTATATTCTTCGTTGTGGGTCCTTCTAGTTGTGGCATGTGGGACGCCACCTCAGTGTGGCTTGATGAGCAGTGCCATGTCCACATCCAGGATTTGAACCAACGAAACACTGGGCTGCCTGCAGCGGAGCGCGCGAACTTAACTACTCGGCCACGGGGCCAGCCCCACATACTTCTTTCTTGATCTTTCTTTGGTATTGGTATTACCCTGGAATTGATATTGTCACAGAGCCTTTCCTTCTTTGTCTTTTAGGTTACACTAAACTACTGCCCTATTTCCCCTCCTACCTCCATGTGCCTTTATAGAAACCTCGTTTCCTGTTTCCTTTTCTTTTTCCTTTCCCTTGTGTGAGTGTCCTCTAAGGTTGTGTACGCTCCAGCTTTTGATTTTCACAGCTTCAACCACCTTCTCCATCCTGGAATTCTCATTTGTACTCCAGACCTGGACTGCCATCTGCCCAGAGGACACTCTCTGATACAACACTGGGAGTACCACCTTCACTTCCAACTCAACCCATTCAAATTGGTTTCCTTTTTTTTTTTTCTTGAGGAAGATTAGCCCTGAGCTAACTGCTGCCAATCCTCCTCTTTTTGCTGAAGAAAGCTGCCCTGAGCTAACATCCGTGTCCATCTTCCCCTACTTTATATGTGGGATGCCTACCACAGCATGGCTTTGCCAAGTGGTGCCATGTCCGCACCCAGGATCTGAACCGGTGAACCCCAGGCTGCTGAAGCGGAACATGCGAACTTAACCGCTGCGCCCCTGGGCCAGCCCGCCTAATTGGTTTCTCCCCAAACAATCTCCCCTTTGAATACTTCATCCCACTAAAATGCAAAGTGAGAAACGTGATGTTTCATTCACGTCCTTCAATTTCCAGATCCAATAAGATGAGAAGCCATGCCTTTCCTTCAAAATGACACCCCTAACTCTCACTACAACCAACCATCCTTGTCCAAATACCTCACACCTCCTTTAGTACAAGAGCCAAACCTTCCTCTTCCTTCCTACCTAACATAATCTATTCTTCTTGCTAGCTCCATGATGATCTTCCTAAAATATTATTTTAATCACATCATTATCATTTTAATTAGCTAAGAACCTATGATGGCTCCCCATTACCAATCTAGGCCGATTATTATATAACCTAGATCAGGGATCGGCAAACTTTTTCTGAAAAGGCCACACAATAAATATTTTAGGTTCTGCAGACCATTCAGTCTCTGTCACAACCGCTCAACCCTGCCACTATAGTGTGAAAGTAAATATAAATATAGACCAACAAATGGCATGACTACACTCCAATAAAATTTTATTTACAAAAACAAGCAGCCAGCCAGATTTAGCCCATGGGTCACAGTTTGCCAACCTCTAATCTAGATCTACCCCATATATTCAACTTTATTTTCCACCAGAGGTTCTTCCCTGTCATTAATTCTATAAAAATGCATTAAGAATTATATACAGGCACTGTCCTAGTGGCTGGGAATACAGCAGTAGAATTGGTCTTTAGACTAACGGAGGTTTCAGTCTAGTGAGGAAGAAAAATATTAGACCAGTAGTTTTAAAAGTGCCAAATGTCATCAAAGGAGAAGGTCTTATGAGCATTATGTAGCAAGAAACGCTACCTTAGTCTAGGAAGTCAGGGACGGCAATGCTAACCATGAGCTAGAATAAAGTGGAAGAGAGCGCACAGCTTTCCTGGCAGGGAGATCCCATATGGAAAGACAGTGAGGCCAGAGACTGGTTAAGCAGCTACTCCAGAGGTTAGGCTAGAAATGTCAGTGGTTTAGGCTAAGGAAACAGTAACGGGGGAGACAAAAAGAGAGTAGATTCAGGAGACTTTGGAGGTAGAGTCAACAAGATGTGGTGATGGAGCAGATATGAAAGGAGAAGAGCAACTGAAAGGCAACTCCTAGGTTTCTGGCTGGAGAAACTAGGTGGACTGCGGGGCACTGGCTTCACTGAGCTGCGAAACCCAAAGAAGGGATTACATACGCCAGGTTATTACCTCTAGAACTTTGGTTCGTCCTATTTCCCCCAGGTTGCATGTCCACCTCTCCTGCAATATGTGCTGTATATCCTTCATGAAGTCTTCCATAGCCTCTCTAGTCCACACAAATCTCTCCATACTCTGAACTTATATCAACTTTTATTTCTCATCATATGGTTCAACCCTTAAACTGTTCTTTCTAGTTGTAATGAGCACACTGGTTTTGCCTTTCAAACAATATTTTAAGCTGTGTGAAAGAGAAAACTATACTTCCTTCAGTTGCTTCTTGTGTCCATCACATGTAGAGAATATGGCAGGTGCTCAATTATACTTGCTCTATAAAAAATACACTACATGTAGATAGGTAAGCCATTCACACAGTCATATGTACATTCATATATTTATACATACACATAAACCATTAATTATTTGTTAGTCAAAGGAGATGGAACTGAGAAATAAACAATGAAGGAGCATGAAGCTGAGGATGATCGGTTGTTTTCCATGTCAACCATTAAAGCCTTAAATAAAAATTAAATAGGTCACACTCTCGCCAAAGAATTATGATAGCATATTTCTTTGACACAAATTAAATCACTGGTGAACCAGAAAGAAAGTCTTATGATAAAGGACTTTATAACAAATCTAGCATTATATTAGAACTTACCAACAGAAAATGAACGACATCTCCTCTGCAGAAGGCAAGCATGGGATTCACACAATTATGCACTGCCACAAAGTGCCAGGCCAGCAATGGAACACTGGAAGGGTCCATCTACGTGAGGAGAAGGCCAAGGGAAAAAAAAAGTTATCACAGTCAAAACACAGAAGAATAAAGAGAAAACTCTGGTTAAAAACAGCATCTGATCAGTGTTCCTTGATAAAACTTCTCCTAATGTCTCATTAAAATTTCAGTGAAGCAGGGACTAACTGGGAAGGGTCATGAGGGAAGTTTCTGGGTTAATGGTAATGTTCTACATCTTGACAGAGGTTTGGTTTACAAAACCATATTCTGCTAATGTACACTCAAGATCTATGCATTTCATTGTATGTAAATTTTACACCAAAGGAAAAACTTAAACAGATATTGAGTTAATGATATGCATGCTGAATATCTAGTAGAAAGAGTACTGATTTCTGCAATTTACTTGGAAATACATTAAAAAAACATAGCTTTGATAGGTGGATAGAGAGATGGATAGATATATAATAAAGTACAGTAAAATATTAATGGTAGAATTTAGATGGTAGGTCTACAAATGTTCAATGTAAAATTCTTTCAACTTCTCTATGTCTTTGAAAACGTTCATAATAAAATCTTGGGAAAAATACCAATAAAAACATACAAAAAGACATGCAAACACATACCACCATGATAAACCTCAATTAAACCTCAAGGAAGCTAACCTAAGAACTAATCTAAGCCAGCTTTACCATCTGAAAGGGCAGACCTGCTTCCCCTGCGGCCCAGAGATACAGAGTACCGACAAGAAAACAGGAGTGATCACCCTCAGCACAGGGGCTGCCTTCTGGACTAGTCAGAGTTCTGCACCCTCATTCTCCACCCCATCCCATCAATACGTCTCCTCACATATTCACTGGAAGATCACAACTCTCTGAGAACAAGCAAGCAGGAAAGAAAAGGGAAACTGGGGTGTGCACAGTACCTTCAGGGGAAGTATCGCCCCAAAGTAAAATACCAGAGGCAGAAGCTAAGGAAAGCTTACGTGGGAGCAACGTCTGCTGGATATTGTGGTGGGGTATTCTCCAGCAGCCGTGCAATGTCAAAGCGGCAGATGGTAAGCATAATCCTACCACAGTGCAGCAGTCACGCAAAGACGAATGTCTTTCAAATGTTGAAAATTGGGGCTGGGATTCAATACATCAATTTATACTCCAGCTTTAAATCCAATGAGGGAATTTTACTGCACTCAAATGTGCAGTGAATGAGACTAGGGAAATCCACGCATGAAATTAGGTGTGACCACAAAGCACCAGGACAGTGAATAGAGAGAGACTGTCAAATTGAGGTTAAAAACAAAAGCCAGCTATATGCTGTTGATGAGAGAAAAACTTAAAGCAATAATGGTAGAAAATACAGATCTCAAGACTCCCAGGACACTGCTCTGGTCACCAGCTTATGCAGCTTTGGCCACGTCGAGGTAAGCCCAGACAGTGATCTTTGGAGCACTGACTTCCCTTCTACCCAGTTTTCTGACAATCTCACAGAATTCACCATTTACGAGTCATTTTCCCCAACCTCCTGATATGGTCCTTCTTTTTGCCAATAAGATAGAGAAGCTTACTCACCCGTCCATAGGGAAAAGTCATCCACACTTTCAAGGATGGTTTCAATCCAATGACCAGTATCTTTAGACGAAAAAACAGATTTCTTAATATTTACTCTGTAATTTTCAAATTTGGGGTATTCAAAGCCTCTAAAAGTTATGAGTTTCATCTTCTAAATATGCCTACCTTTGTTAAGGATGCCATGGCCAGTAGGGAAAACTGTGTGATGGGATGATCTTTCAACTCTGGCTTGGAATGGAGAGGTTCAATGCAGCAAACTTCACCCTTGGAGCCACTGAACAGACATCTAGATTCACAAGTCCTCACTCCCATCACTCTCCTGAAAACGTAACCAAAACATTCAGAATCGATTTAGCAATGCTCCAAGGCACTACCATCTCTAGCCTGGATACTACAATAGCCTCCCAACTCCTCCTCTTGCCCCCCAAATCCAAATTCCACATGACATCAGCATGGTCTTTTCAACAAATAGGCCAGATTTATCACTCTTCTCCTAAAAACAGTTCAATGGCTTGCTATGTCTCATCACGTCTCAAAAGGTCCTATAGGATCTGGCTCCAGCCTTCACTCCTCTCCTATTACTGCTGCTCGTGACAAAGGCAGGCTCTAGCCACACCTTCCTTCTTTCCATTGCTCCAGCAGGCCGTGTGTGCCCACCTCAAAGCCTTTGTGTTCAGACGTCCCTCTGCCAGGAACACTTCTTCCAGATCTTTGCATTTGTTGACCAGGTTATCATTCAGATCTTTGCTCAAATGTCACCTTCTGCGAGAGGCCCTCCTGAACTATCCTCAATTGCACTCCAGCCCACCGACCTGTCTTATTTTCTTCATAGTACTCATAATAATCTGAAGTTACTTCATTTACGTGTTGGTTTATTGTTTGTCTCCCTACCCCACCCCAACTAGAATGCAAGTTCTATTAGATCAGCAACCTTGCCTGGTACCTAGAATAACACCTACACACAGGAGATGCTCAGTAAACATTAAATGAATAGTATTTTTTAAGCAATTACTTTGGGTTCAGCACTGTTAGAAGGTATGAGAAATACAAGAAACAAATATAGTCCTTACCTTTGAAGAACATATGGAAACATAATATACAATCAATTTTATGTTCTACTTTTTTTTTAACTCAGCTTTACAAATGTTCTTCCAATCTATCAAGATAGTCTTTGCTCTTATTTAAAGAGTAAACAAGGCAATTCCAAAGCTATAAAAACCTTTCTACACCTGGCCATTATGATTGAGCTTGGGGCCTAAACTGAAATCAATGAGATACCCCAGAAGAGTGGCTCCCAAGCCTGACGGCTCATACAAATTCCCAGGGGAGGAGCAGTCTAGAACACCAACTCAGACCTACTGAGACAGAATTTTGGGGAGGCCAGCTCTGGAGCTTCATCTGTTCTATCAGCCTCCCGAGGTAACTGTAATACACAGCCATAAGCTATTTTCAATCACACGGGCCTTCCAGACCTCCTCATGTTCAATTTCAAGTCATTAAACTAGAGCTACTTTCTTCATTTGTCAACAAATGTCGGTTAGTCTCTTACTTAAATGTCAATTCAAAAACAGAGCCTCCGCTGTCGTTGCAAATTGCAAGAGTTGGATCATCTGTAAACTAAACAGAGAGGGAATTTATTTTTTTGTAGATTTTTAAACAACCAGTAAAGTGTGTTAAGAAAATAAGGGAAAAAATTATAAAAATTTAAAAATCTAAAACAAACACCTTTAATAGCATTTGAAATCACCTAAGCAAGATTCAGCTCACCACTCCAAATACACAAACTTACCTGTATTCAGAATTAAAATGACTCAGTATCTTTAAAAAACTGAGGCTTTAAAAAAAGCAAAACCACCTTTCATCAGGATAAAATAAAAAGAAAAGTTGTAATTCATAAAAGCCTTAATGTTCTCTACTTGGGTTCTTACACTGACTTTTTCTAACTGGGTATTAAATTGAGTAGGATACTTTGGATACATCTGTAGGTGCCTAGTTTTCAAGAATAAAGACACAGTAAAAGATATTTGGTATCTTTGGGAAATAAACCTGTCTGAATATGTTTTCTGAATAACTCAAGAGTTAACCCACTATATTTAAAAATAGTTTAACTTTTTATGTAACTCTTCCTAAAGTGAGCTGCCTCCTTGATCTTCTTCAACAGAGTATACCTCAGTTATTATTACCTACCCTAGAAAACTCAAAATAACAACGTTCACGATGACAGACAGTCCTAAGGGCTTATGAGCTACGGTAAATGTGAATTGTATAATATAAAATTGCATAGCTTAACTTGCATCATTTACAGTGACGAGTCTCCCTAACCCCAAAGGCTGGTGAGACTAAACAGCATGCCTTTGTGCTCTTAGTCAAGGGATGGTTGAGGTACAGGAAGCTACTGTAAAACTGTTCTTCCTGGACCCCACACACAGGCAGAGTGAAGAAGTCTCACAGCTTGCTCTCAAAGGCTAGCTGAGCAGGTGCAAAGGTGGGAGGCACATCCCCCCGGAGTGTAGGAAAGATAAAAGAACTTGTATTTTTGTTTATTAATTTTCTACTTCTTGTGTATATGTTTTATAATGTACTGAAATATCAGTACAGTAGTACATTTATATAATTTTAAAATAAATAATAAATATATATACATTAAGGATGCAAGCCCCAATTGTTATCGATGAGATGTAGGGTTAAGTTTGAAGAATAATGAGTAAGAGTATTGAAGTGTAAGTGGCTGTTGTCAATCCAAGGCTTCAGAAGTATTCCATCATATATCTCTTGCTACCTCTTTCTCCAATGTCACAGTGTCTGCATGTACCACCTTATCATCATTCCCAAGCAACACAATGGTTTCTACTACTGTGCTTTTAACCTCGGCTGCATTCTTGTCTTTTCTTTCTGCCTTTATCGCTTCTGTTTCCTACTGTTTCTCCCAAAGGCTTAACTTTTTTCTGCAAAAGAACTGGCCTTTTATAAACACCACCAACTGGTTATTCCTTCAACCAAACATTTATTGAGTGGCTACTATGAGTAACAAACAAACATAAAGAAAGAACAGATTCTGGTTTCAAAGATCTTAATCTATTAAAGGAGATAAGACATAAACACAAATGACTACGACGTATTAGAAGTTGACAGACGCCATAGGAAGAGGTCAAGATAAACCACCATGATGTTCAGAAAGAGGAGAAATTCTCTCTACTTTTACTTGTCTTGGTTGTTTTCATTGTTACCAAATGCTTCACTGCTGCTTTGTCACAAAAGACTTTTATGTAACTAACCTAGATGCAGACACATAAACTCCAGATGCTTGCAGACTTTAAAAAGCATATGCATGGATAAGAGAGGTCTGCACAGCTAAGCAACCAAATGTGTACATGATTAAAATCGAGCAGATCTGATTTTAGACTTCCCTAGTTATAGCCCTTTACCTTTTATGCTTCTGAACATGGGCTTGACAGCATACAAAAACCAAAGTTCACATTGTATTTATAAATGAAATCTGTTACCTAAGTCGGTTTATTTTTTTTCAGGCCTGTAAGGAGAAAGCCAAGACACAAATCTTAATGCCTCTCCTTTAGAGGCCTGAAAGAAAATAAACCAACAGATTCATTTCTAAACATAATCCAAACCTCGGTTCTTTCACAATTGTTGCCTTGAGCCTCAGGTAACTCCCAACAAAGTGTGACAGAGCACACCACCTCAGCAATGAAATCTTGGCGGACTAAACAAAAGGTAAAAAGACCTTTAAAATCTCCACGTGAGTTTTCAGTAGGGTACTGCCTGTCTTTGCTGCCAACCTCTCATCGAGGATCACTCACGTCGATTTACTCTGCTGCTCTATTAGACTTCAACACAACTTGCAGTGGAATGTTACCATGCTAGCCCATCTCTGGTTTTAACTTGAGAAAACATCTTGCTAGGCTAATCAAATAAAAGGAAGTTCATCGTCAACGATTCCGTTTACAAAGAAATTTACTTAAAAATGGACACAAAGGCAAAATAATAAAAATTATTAGAAAAAAACTGAAAATACTACCTTAATATGTAATATTGCCGTTCCTGGAGGATGAGCATCTGTTATTGATCTGAGAAGTTTTCCACTGGCCAAATCCCACATAGTAATCTATAAGACAACCAAATGCTTTAAAAACAAATTTATTGCTCTTTTTTGGACTTAAGTATCCTGCCTTCTGGCTAAAATAATCTATTCGTGCTCTATAAACATTGCAGGCAAAGAACTGTAAAGTTAAAACATAACTAAAGGTTGCAGATCCATTAAAGCACGGGGCCTTGATTCCATCTTCACCCACCCTTCATCCTGTCCCACCTACTTTTCCCTTTAGATTTTGAATGTTGTCCTTATACTGAGAGGTAAAAGAAATTTCTTTAATGAGTCAATTTCTCTAGCACTGATAAAAATTATAGGAAAGGCTCACTGCCAAATTAGTCATGTAGAAGTCAGAAGATGAGAAAAACCATAACTTACTGCCAGTTTCAGAAGTGGAAAGAAAAAAAATACCAAAACAGTTATCCAGAACACAGGAATAAGAATACAGAAAGAAGAATATAGCATATTTAAAAAATAGCAACAATTATCTACAATACTATAAGGAAGTAAATTTTGTCTAACAGCCTGGTTGGTTTACAAAAGCTATTTAATTATATAGACACATAAATTAAGATATTAAAAATCTGGCTCTGGCTCAGTCAATAACAATTATTCAAAAATGTGCACAAAAGTCAGACTAAGCAACCTCAGGTTAGCTCCACAGACATGACATTTTATAACACACATTTTGGTCTTTGAGATATTGATCTAAAGATATTAGTTTTTAAAAAATTGATTTTAGCATTGTCTAATGCATAAACTAAAGTTCATATTTACCTGTCCTTTAGCAAAGCCACAGAGAAGCCTTGAGCAGTCATTGTTGATACTGAGCGCAGAGATGGCTCCATACTGACCTCCAACACTAGTGCTACCCAGACAGAGTCGCAAAGCTTGATTCTGATCTAAAGAGAGCAATTTGTAAAATCAAGTGAAAGAAATGGAAGGAGTGAATAAATTATATATATGTAGAATAGGCTTGTTTTCAAAGACGTGGGAGGAAGCAAGAATCAAAAGAATGAAATGAAGTCACATCCATTTAAAACTATATTTATTGAGCACCTACTAGATATTTGGCATTGAATTATAACACTAAGAATGCGGGAAAACAACATCTACAAGGACGCATAATATAAACCTTACTAATGATAAGTAAAAAAATCCATAAGGAATCTGTTATCTCCTTGAACAAACCAACTGCCTTTCATCTGTCTCATCCTAGAATTGTAGTTCTTGCTATTTTCAGGATGCAAGGTTACAGGGAATACCATCTTTTAAAGTAGCTTTAAAACTTCAAAAATCAAAATTTATTAATTTAGAATTTGGCTAAAATTTACATTTATATATTATCCATGGAGAAAAGGTCTACTAGGCAAATTAACAGTGCAAATAAAATTATAGAGTAAACAGTTTAAACCACTTAAGAAAATTATTTTCAAGCATCAACATCTGATATGCAAAAAGCAAATAATTCAAATCTCTGCTAGATTAAGTTCTTTAAGGGCAAAGATCTTGCCTTAATCACCTCTGATTTCTCCAGGAGGCACTCAAATATTTATTAAATTTTACTATCTCTAATAATTAAAAGAAATTCCTCTAGAGCTTCTCCTAGGCAATGCTTATTTGTCTAGAGTGCGTTACTATACCCACCTGAAAACAGTGAAATAAAAAATTTAAATATACAAAGGCATGCTTATAAAATTTAACTGTTTAGAGAAAGAAAAAACCCACCATACTTGCACAACCTGGAGTCCTCTGAATTCCCCCAGCAACGATTTATGCTTCCCTTAACTATCTACATGCTACTTTTTGGAAGTTGGTATGTCTTACACCCACTATTAGACTATGACCTCTCTAAGGGCTGAGATTATGAGTGAATTAACACTCCCAGAATACCTAGCCTCGTGCCTTGCACTCATAAGCCATCCGACAATCATCTGAATAGCTTCCACATTTGCAAATCTTCCTTCTAGAAGGATAAATCTAGTTATCAAAAAGAGCCTAAAGACATTAATTCTCAGGTCTAGGGAACAATATTAGGTAAGTTCATTTGCCCATCCAAAGTGAATACTGCACAAATATTCTTCTATGTTCATAAGCTGGCTCAAATAGCAATCCCAATTCCACAAGGAGTTCTGACACAATTAATGGCTGTACTGTTTCTGGCACACAAAACATACTCAATGTTTTCTGAAATCATTTTAGAGTTTAGCCTTCCAAGGTGAACTTTTGAGAAGGAACAAAATGCACAAATATACAAAGGTCTGATATATTTTAAAACTCATTATCTTTATTCACATCTAGAATTATACAACTAGAGATTTTTTCCTTACTTACATACTTTTCCCTCCCTCCCCCAGTTTAACCCAAATTATTAAAATTTCCTTTATTCTATTTTCCTGACTCTAAATACGACATCCCATTTTATTCTGCTTTACTGAAACTGCCTGTCTAAATCAGCATTTTCTGGGGTCCTTATTTTGTCACGGCCACCTTATACAGTTAGTGGATTATCCATATATCTTATTTTGCAAACTGTCAAGATACCATGTTGGGTAACAGTGTTCTATATATACCAATACTTTGGGTCATGCATGTAGGCAAAGGATGGAAAGAAAGTAAGAGGACAAAGACAGAAATCCCTACCAGCCTCACAAAGAAGCCCCCTGAGTCTGGCTGCCCGCCTTCCGGGCACAGAGCAGAGTCTGTACAACGTCCTGCTGGGATCCTTTGTAATCCCTGCTTTGAGATCTAAACTTTACACAGTTCTGATCCACCAACACTTAAAGACACTCATGACTGCTTTCTGATTCAACAAAGTTCAAACTTTAAATTAGACTATTTAAGTATTGCTATAACTCAGGGAAAGTAAGAATAGGAGAATTAAGGAGTATGATAAAAGAGAATAATGGTACCATTAAGAAAGAGGAAATGGAGAAGACGGAAGGAAAAAGACACATCTAACCTCTAGATTAAAACCCCAAATATGACTGCTTTCCTAACTGTGGGATCCATGTACTAAAAAGTAGCTAAGAGGGGCTGGCCCGGTAGCATCGTGGTTAAGTTTGCGAGCTCCACTTTGGTGGCCTTGGGTTCGCTTGTTTGGATCCCCAGCACGGACCTACCCACTGTTTGTCAAGCCATGCTGTGGCAGGCATCCCACATATAAAATAGAGGAAGATGGGCACAGATGTTAGCTCAGGGCCAATCTTCCTCAGCAAAAAGAGGATTGGCAGCAGATGTTAGCTCAGGGCTAATCTTCCTCAGAACAAAAAAGTAGCTAAGACAGGGACCTAAATTATCAACCTTGGTCGCTCCTGAAAGACGTATCAAATTTACATCCCATAGGACTCTCTTAATGAAAACATTCTCAACTTTTTTGATTTTTACAATGTATTCATTCTCTTTATAATGTCCCTTTATAAGGTAGCATGGCCATGAGGTGATGCACAGTGTATAAAATATAATCTATTTTAACTCCAAAAGATATTTACCAATTTTTATTGCTGTCTTAAACATCTATCTTTATGGTATCATGTTAACAAACTTGCTATTACACAATTTAGGCTAATCATAAAAGATAGATTTCTGTGGAAAGAAGAAAGCAGAGTCTTACTGGACAGGTTTCTTTGCTAGAGTAACTAAACATTCTGTAGTCCAGACGTTCTGGATGATTCTGGGGAGAGGCACCTGGTGAAAATAAAAATAAAACCTCTTCCAAACACTTAAATTCTATAGTTATAAGGAAAGGATAAAAGGACCTAGAGAGAAGCAAGAAAGGTGACAATCAGAGCTTTGCACCTTCTCTTCCTCCAGGGGGCTCTTGATCTTACTAATTTAAAAGGAGAAATTCTATTTTCCCCCTTCTCTCTGAAGTCTCCTTTGTCTATTGTTGGGGAAAAGAGATTAAATTAGTGGCACACCTAATTTCATTTACAAAGTCACATAAAATCATATCTATTATCATTGTCAACTTAGTTTTTTAAAAAGAATTGGAGAGGGTCCTTATGAAGCAAATGACTCTGGGCAAGAAATATGAAATGAGTCTCTCATTTTTCCTATAAACTTCACAGAGTTGGCATAGAGCTTAAATAAGAAAATGCCTATGACAATTTTAAGAATTACCAAATGGTACAAATGTAAGGAATTATTATTAACAACAAGAAATAGCTTAACAATTAATTAAGAGAACCTGAAGCCCAGATAGCACAAAAGCACACCTATTTGACACTGTGATGAATTACACCTATTTCTTTTACTAGTATGTCTTTCAAAGTACACTTTGCTTAGGGTAGATCTCCTCAGCATATTCTGGGTTTAAGAGTAATGCGCAGAACAGCAAAGAAAAGCCACAAATAACATATAAAGTCTGTAATAGCTATAAAATCTAAATTTGAACGTACTTCAAGAATTTCTCCTCCTTCCAAATACCAACATTAACCCAATCCTCTATTTCCTCACCCTAATTTGTTTAACTAATTTGTTTTATCTAGTTTAGTGCCCAAAGACCATCAAAGAAGGAAACACTTAGATCCCAGAAGGAATCAAATTTGTGGTCTGGAGCTCTACTTTCATTGCCAGAATTCAACATTCTTCACTACTAATCTTTTCTTACCCCTTGAGCATATTAAAATATCCTCTAAGACCAAAAGAGAAGAAGAAAAGAGATATTAGGAAACACTTTTTGTCAATGATCAGACAACTGCAGAGGCACTTCACCTGACCTCCACCTAACAAACACAGAGAACTAAAGCTCGCATTCCCTCTGCAAAGCTGAGTGACTGAAGCCCAGGACACACTGACTCCCCATGGCTAACCGGCTATTCTCTAGAATGTTGATGCTTAAGAAGAGTCCGTTGTGTTCACTTCCAAACCTGTTCACGCCACTGTAATGTTACTGTACCTAAAAATTAAACAATACATGAACTGATGAAATAGAGTGAAAAAGAAACAGCTGTTGTTTCTATGAAACTAAATGAATGCTGAGAAAAATCTGGTAAAGATGAGTTGCTTTAAAAAACTGTCATGAAATAAGTTGCAGACAAGATAACTGTAGAAGTTTGAAGATAAGTTTTGTGAAAATCTACAATTCTGCACTCCTCAATCGATTCACAGGTGCCTAAGCTTTTACCTTTTATTTTAATTTAAAAGTGCAAATTTTACATGACCCATTATTGATGCAGTTTATGCCAAAAAAGATGCTGTAGACCTCCAAGTGGCAAACACAAAGTCAAAGAAATGGCTTTGGACTATATCAAAAGATTAAGAGGAAAAAGAATATTTATATATTTTCAGTTAAAATAAAACATTGAAGGTATGTATGTATGTATGTATGTATGTATATATATATATTATATGTAATTTTTAACAATTCCCTGCTTTAATCAATTTAAATTAGCTGGGTTTTTTTCCAATAAGCATTTCCTAAGAGGGCATCAACTGTAATTGATAGCATTCTCTTCCAACATTAAAAAGGTCAAAAGAAAAAGAGTCACTCATGCAAACCAAAATTACTATACCTTTTCCTTTGAATCCATGCAGAAAAGATCAAAAGAAAGAGAAAAGCAAGAAATCAGTTCAAAAGTTCAGAGAAAAGACAGGTAAAATTTCAAGAGTATAAGTGACAAACTTCAGTTATCTGTGGGAATGATATTAAATGTGATTAATGGGCATCTCTAGCATCTATGATTATATTCAAGTATTGGTTATGCAAGAAGAGAAAATGTGTAACATTCAAATTATAGCACAGTAAGAAAACACAAGTCTATTAAGTTTGATAGAAACAAAAACAATTACAAAAAGATAATCTCCTAAAGTACACTAACAACCCAAAAAATGGAAAACTAAGGGCCTTAAGGATAAGGAGACACATTTATTAAGACTTGAATTTTTGAGATCCTGTATATAGGTGAGAACCAAGATATATAATAAATACCATAAACCTATAATTCCTTAAGAATAGGCAACATACATCATCTTTAAGAAGCTTATAATGATGACTATTTTAATAACTCATGCCTCTATTCCTAAGAGAATCTAGTAGTTCTTAAAAAATTACAGTTCTTGCTGCTGCACTTTTTCATGCGATCAACAAAGATGTTTTAAAAAGATCAGATTTAACCCAGACCGCTAATCTAGATACTTCATAGTATTATTACTCTGCCATTTGTTCCTGGCTTTCAAGCACATTTTAATGCATTTGTTAAAACTCGCTGCCCAAATATATGATTCCCACAAAAATTATGAGTAAAATATATTAACTGCATGATTGAAAGCCTGAGGCATAACCAGAATATTATGATTCTTTCTCAAAATGTTCATTCTGACAGACTTTCTTTTCCATGAGACCATAATGAAAGATTACTATTTCATCCTATCAATAAGAAATCTGCTGGGGTCTAAAAAAATTAGGAAGCAGGCACAAGGAAATTAGAGAGAGAGTAGCAAAAGACAATGTACTCTTCTTCTCTGTTAGTTTTTATTTTAAAAGTATATGTGTTAATTTGTTGCAGTAAGCTCTACATGGGTTTGATTATAAGCAGGCACACATTCTTATATCCTTGTGGTAAGGAAGGGACGTTAAAGCCAACAGAGTTGAGGAAAAGTGAATACTGGTAGTGGGAACAAAAAATCAACATGCATTCTGCTGACAGATAAACATATGCATTTTATTCTCTCCTCATTCATCTTAGTTCTTCTATTTTTTACTTCACATATTTTGGAATTTGCCTCCTGTTCTCTCAGGACAAGTGAATTGCTTGGAGTGGCAGAATTGCACTGATCTATGATTCAGTATTCCTTGCTTCTGATCTTGGCTCTGTGCATGTCATTTAACCTCTCTTGTTCTCAATCCCTTTATGTAAAGTAAGGGAATTGAACTAAAAGAACTTTTAAGATCCTTTCCCCAAATTCTATCCATCTAATACAAATCATGCCCCTATAGCAGAACAAGCATTTACATTTGATAGGAGAGCAAGCTGGTCAAACTTTCTACAAGGCAATTAGGCAACATATATTAAAAGTGTTTAAAATGTTCATACCCTGACCTAAGCAATTCCACTTTTAGGAATTTGTCCTAAGGAAGTAATCATGTGCACAAAAATGTAGTTCCAAAGATGTTCATTACTATACTGTTTAGAAACAACCTAAACATCTTATGGTAGGAAATGGTTAAGCAAATTATGGTGACTCCATTTAAAAGAATACTATGTAACTGTTAAAAATAATGTTACAGATGAATATATAATTACATGGAAAGATGTTCATTATAATGAAAAAGAAGGTTACAAATTAACATGACCCATTCTGGGGTGTGTACATATACATACACACACACACACACACACACACGTACAGAAAAAAGATTAGAAGGCCACACAAAAATGTTAGGGATTATGCCTAGATGATAGAATTTAGTATTTTATATCTTCAACCTTCTACTATGAAAATATGTCAATTATGGAATAAGAAAAAAATTATGGTTTAAATAATCAAGTCTAAGTTTTCTCAAGAGAATTATATCTTTGTTTTCATTCTTCCCATCCCTAAACAGTAAAACTCTATTATTTAAATCAATCATCTTTGAAAAGACTAGGTGTTAAAAACCACATGACAAATAAGGCCTTTGGCATAATGGAAAATGTATAAATAGGAAGTCAATTGTTCCAAAACAAGGGAAAATACCTAGTTGTTCACTCATACGGTAAATAAAGATGCAAGGCTCACAGAGATCAAATTGTGGTTCTGCTACTAAAGTATTCCCAGGTAAACCTTATACAATATTCTGTAGATTCCTTACTAAAATCCAGCATCATCAGGAATTCCATTTAAGAGAGATGCAAAAGACTTAAGATCCGGAAGAGAACACTAAAAATGACAGAAAAATATTACCTGATAGTTTTTAAATTAAAAAACAGACCAAAATGTTCTGCTTATAGTATTGAATTCTAAAGCAAAGAAAGATTATTGAAACTAGGGTTCCTTAGTCTCAGAGAGGAAAAAAATGAGAAAATACTTCAGATGACTGTCTACTATACAAATGAAACTAGTTAAGTTCTCCTGTCAATCAACCAAAGAGTGTGATTATGGGCTAAAAATTTTTCAGTTTAGAGGGATTTGCAATGTAAATGAAAAGAACTTCTTGTCAATGAGAGTTACTAAAAACGACTGAGAAAGCCTGGGAATCTCTTTGCCTGAAGACCTTTTAGAATACCTACTACTCGGATATGATTTAGAATAAAAAATCACCACCACCACAAATTGGAGGCAGACAAATTGACAACCAAAGGTCCCTTTCAACTTTGTATTCTTTTTGTCTAGCTCTGCAGAAAGTCAAAAGATATGCTGTCATGACTTACAAATTCAGAAAGAAGAAAATAAACTTGCAATGAGCAACAAAATGAAGCTGGGTCAAGTAATTTTTAACTATAAAAATGACACTACTTTTCAAGTTTTTCTGGGTTTTTTTCAAGAAAATAAAGTTCACCATATACACTATGAGTAAAAGACATTATAAAACCCAAAGGATACTTAATGTTTAAAATAAGGAAAGTACTTAGGAAATTTACCAAATATTAAAGCCAATCCATGAGATGTACCCACTGCTATCAGACTGGACACTGCCTGAGGAAAAAGAAAGGGAAGATTACATTTTAAGATATTACATCAAGAATCTTGAAATAATCAGAGCTGAATTTGTTGGTCTTCCTTCCTCTAGGCACCAGATGACATACCAACTATTATAAATAAGGAGAATTTCATCTAGGAGGTAAAACGGGAAATGAAACTCAGGACATTTTATTCCTGGGAATCTCTCTAAATTTACTCTAAGGGTAACAATATCAAAATATCATATGTTCAACATTAGAGGCAAAAGCATGCCACTTAGCTTCCTCTAAAGCAATTTTTTAAAAAAAATCAGGGGTCCAGACCAAGTAAGAGGCACTTACACTATCCAGCAAGAGCCTCCTGTGCGGGTGGGGAAGGGACAAGAAAGCTCTTCTCCAGTTTGTTCAGAGGAGCCAAAAGGCACCAGAAATGTTCAAAATTCAGCCCATTTCCTCACCAATTGACTAATAAGAAAGCAAGAGGCAGCTGGAAGTAGTCGAGAAAAGAGGGCAGTTCAATATCCCCCAGTTCTCTATAATCACTCCCCACATTTCCTATTTGGCAGGCTTGGCGATGGAGTCCAGAGCTGTTCAAAGTACTATTTACCCCAAAGTGAATCTACCAAATACTGTCTTCCACTCCTATAACCAAAGGCAAGCCGAATCACAGGAGCAAATTCACTTGGGCAGGGTAGTATCACATACAAATAAACCTGGAAAAAGCTAATCATTATTCCATTAGATGCTCCGCAAACAAATGCCTGAAGAGTAACAATATATTAGAAAGAGAACATTCAACACGGGTAAATTTTAAACTTGACTACTGGCAGTAAATGACTTATGAATTTATCATCACAATAATTTATGTAATAACTTTGAACATTAGAAGACTGAATCCAAGAAAACCCAATCAAACAGAAAGCTTACCTTTAAAGGATTATTTAAAGTATACTTACAATTGCTGTAGGCAAGCCAGCATCTACTTTGTCCTGAATGAAATTAAAAATAAAAAAAGTCCTTGAAAAGATATTTTTTAAAACAGAAAATGGTATAAGGCGCTCTCTTTACACATACTTTGATCCAAATCAATTCAGACAAGAGGTAGACCCTTCATTTTTGCCCCTACCTAAGAGAAACTACAAAAGTTGTATAAATCAACAAAATATAAAAAGCACGAGAGTGGGTCATTTTATTTTACTAACTGTAACAGATGCTTCAGGAAGGGTACTGATTATAAATGAAAATGTAAAGAAAAGAGAGAGGAAAGAGGTTCCATTTTCAATAATGTGAATAAACTATGGGTACTTATGGGTCAAAATGGTAGGAGTCCATAAAGATTTTAGAAAAGGGAAACATATGCTAAAGATATTCTTCCTACTCAGCAGATTATCCAAAAACCCCTAAATAAAACCTGAGCAGCATATATTCAGTCAGTTCTCAAGCATAAGAAAATCAAAACTTAAGTACTAGTCCCAGCTCCTTACCAGTAACCAAATGACCTTGGGAAAGTCACCTAACCCTTCTGAGTATTAGTCTCATCTGTCCAACTTATAGCGAATACTGCCCCATCTACCTCAATGAGTTCTCGTGAGGATCAAATTAAATGTAAAGTAGCACATAAATGTAAGGGAATCTATTTGATGCTTCTATAGCTTTAAACAATAATAATGATTAGCACTGCAGCAGCAAAGAGCTTTCACATACATATATATTACACTGTTTGATTCTCAAACTGAAAGAGATAGATAAAATAGGTAGCAGTATTCAGATTTTCCAGGTTAAGAAAACAGACGTTTCAAGGAGCTTAACTGACTTGCCCACAATTATTCAGAGAGTGGAAGAACTATGTCTCAAACTCAGGGTGTCCAGTTCCCAGGTCAGCTTCTTTACATGACTTCTACTTTTCTTCTCTATGTCTGTCCCTGTCAATGTGGTCAATTCGTTATCACCATCTCTCAGAAGGCAGAATCTATTTTACCCAACTTTATAGAGCTTGCCGGGAACTAACTTAAGAAACTTACTCCAGTGCGTGGGAATATGGAAGAACAATGACCAAGGCTGCTCTGTACAATGTTCTGGAGAGCAGGATATACCCAACTGTATGCAGATGTGTGTGTGTGTAAGGCATGCCTCACATAATGCTGGACGATTAAGAAGCATGCAATAAGTATCTGATAAATGATTTGTGTCGCGGACACAGAAAAAGAATGAGACGGCAGATGAAAAACATAAACTATATTCAAAACGGAACCCGAATAATGAAATCAGAAGTCAGCTAACATTAAAAGCTAAAACACCATAGATGTGGGAAGCACTTGAGAGATTACAGAATTTTAGTACTGGTGTTGAGACATTGAGGACAGTCATTCTCAAAAGCCAGGGTGCATTAGCATCATCAGGATACCTGTTAAAATGCAGATCCCCATGCTACCCTGCTGGCAATTCCAATTCAGTGGGTCTGGGGTAGTGCCCAGGAAGCTGCATTTTAATAAGCTCTCCAGGAGATCATTACACACCGGAAACATTCTACAAAACACTGTGCCAAGGTATCTATTATCTTACATGATCATAAAAATGATAAATATCCTTAAAAAATTAATTTTCACTAATTTTAAATATAGTCATGTCATATCATTTTGAGGAGGATTCCAAAATTAAACAATGAAGTTCACAACTCCAAAAGTTTCATCTCCCCTAAGTGTTCTCCATGCGTGGACTACGAAGCCGTGATGATCAAGGCCCTAGGCAGCCCTAATAACATCACAATCCACATGGCTGAAGGCGTTATTGAACAACTATTCAGGAGAGATACCCGAAAGTACAACTAGCTTTACATGTTAATAAACCAACCATCACAGAGAAGCATACAATTTAAATTGAGCTGGTAATTCCAAAATTAGGAAGGCACAGTATGAAGACTGTCACAGGAAAAGCAGTTTTCATTTTAACATACCAAAGGAGCTCAGCCATGGCAATGAAATAAGAATAAAATGCAAACACTCTGGGATTTATTAGAATTTTTCCCTCCCCTTCAAGAGGGAGGAGAAAACCCTTTTAAATAACAGATTTATCTAATCATTGTTCAGTGTCTGAGTTTTAGCTCAGTCTCCATTATTCAAAATATTTTTAAAACTGCACAGGTGGGTCAAATGACTGTTCTGGTTCATCTTGATTTTGAAAGGAATGAATTTCATCACCTACATAAGGATTAAATTCAGAAAACGTCATGGAAATATAATCCTCAACAGGTGGTTCCCATTCTAGCAAATATGAGTTACTCTCCACCTAAAGAGGAAGGACAATTGCCCAGGTTTCCTCCATTGCTTGACTATCTCTCTATTTAAATTGACTTCATGATATATGAGCTGGGTCAGGCTATACCAAGGGCCCACAGAGAACACTTTCGCTTTTCTTTTCTTTTCTTTTTCTTTTTTTTTTTTTTTTTGGTATCTGCAATAAGAGCTTTCTCTGATAAGCCTGAAAACTGCAATGCGGTTATGGTGTCATGATGCCACTTCTGTATCAATCTCTTCCCCTCCTGAAAAATCAACACTTTTATTTCTTATCCAAATTGAATATGCAAAATACCAATTAAACTCCATGAAAAGAACATAAAAACACATCAAAGTTCCCGGGGTATGAACCTGTCATCATCATCATCATATTATTATATACAGGATCTATCTATTGAATTCAGAAAATTAAAATTGAAAGACTACATAAAACTACAGGCTTTGAGGTCAAAGGGAAAGTTTGATCAAACATACCAGAATCAGCATCTGTTGCCTTCACAGACTATTGAATATTTTTGCATTAACCCAGTGCCCTAAGTGATTTTCAAAAAAGAATACAGATATTCTGTTCCAGCCATTATACACTGGCCACATTCGCCAATACCACCTCCATTTCACAACAAAGCAGCACTGGACTTCAAGCCAGAAACCCCAATTTTGAGTAATTGCTCTATCTTCTAACCCAATGATGTAAGACAAGTTAATATCACCTTTCTGTGTCTGTCTTCTCATTTGTAAAACAGGATATGGCTTTCCCTACTTTCAAAGTTGTAAGAGTAAAATGAAAATAAGGTACATGAAAAGACTTGTGTAAATTATTTTAAAAAATCACTGAGTTGTAAAAATTCTGCTCAATCATTTCTCCATATGAAAAGCTAAAAACACAAGCACTCTACCTCAACCAAACACACAAGATGGCAACTAAACTGAAAAGGAATTTTTAAAAAAGGCAGATAGAGTTTCTTTTAGGCTTGCTGCCATATTTCATTTAGGCACACCCGAGACTCTGAGCAGACCTTTATTTCATGGCTGCACTAATTTCTATGTCAAGATGTGTAGCCACGTCTTATGAGTCAAAAATAATCACACAAAAACCATGAAAGCCAGATTCTATTTTTCTTAAGCCTCGGGCCAAGAGAAGTGCGGGGCTTTGTTTTATGCTCATTCCTACTTCATTATGCCATTGCAGGTTATAAAGCTGGGGGAAGAGAACAAAATACTTACAGCTGCAGACACTATCTGGGCAGAAATTCCCTTCAAAAGCGAATGTCGCATAACTGAGCCATGGAGTGAAAAATTATCAGGTAATTTCTTCTTCCTAAAAAAAACGAAAACATTTAAGAACAGAGAAACAATGGAAAAGGTAGGGTCTCTGAAAGAATAAAAACATAAAAAGTAAGAAAAGTCGAAGACAACACTCTATGTACTTTGTTCTGCTTTGCAAAGAGGAATAAAGGCTATCAGTCCCACATTTAAGATGCTGTGCTAAACCCACCTTGAACCTCAGAGAAGCACAAGCAGGAAAATGAACCTCAGAGAATGTACAAGCATTCCTTTTTCACTGATCCAAACTGTTCCTCACCCATCTTAAGTAACACAGCAGAGGTTCAACCACTCACCAGGTCGCCTACAGAGCACTCGTCCTGCCCTACATGTCTGCGTTACCTCCATCTGCCTTCCACCCTTATCCACCGTACTTGCCGTCCTCCTGTCTATTACCACCCTCTCATTCATCAACCAACTACTCACTCTCAGCTGCTCCTACTATCATCTCCTTTCACTTATCCAACTCATTATTGTACAAAAAGTAGTTTTTAAACTTTTACCCAACATGATTACCTACTCTCTATGACTAAAAGCATGTTCTGGGGATACAAAAATAAGACACTCAAGGCTAGCTAGAGCGACTCATAGGTAATTCACTGTTAAATTAAAGGATAAATGTTAGACAAGAAAAATGAATAAAGCACTATAGAAATGAAATAAAGAAGACTTTAATCCTGTTTATTAGGGGGATATCAAGGACAGCTACAGAAAAGAGAAGACGTCCAATCTGGCCTGGATGGATAACTATGAATCTGTCAGGCAACAAAAAAGAACAAGCAGAACTACAAAGATGTGCAGGTGTGCAGTGTGTGGGGGTAATGTGAGTACACGGAAGGCAGGAACCAGGAGGGTGGGGGTGGGAGTGTTTAGAGAATGGGTCAAATGGCAAGCAGGGCCCAGACTGATGCCATGCAAAAGAGTGCTGACATTATTATGTGGCCAAGAAGAAAACGCCTTATCTATTAAGCAGGTGGTGACCAGATCACCAAAAACATTTAAGTTATCATGGTTCCATACAAGTTTTAGATTGTTGTTTCTATTTCTGTGAAGTATGAAAGCTGGAATTTTGCTAGGGATTGCATTGCATCTATAGATGGCTTTGGGCAGTATGGACATTTTAACAATACTACCCCATGAATACGGGATTTTTTCCATTTATTTGTGTCTTCTTCAATTTCTTTCATCAATGACTTATAATTTTCAGTGTACAGTTCTTTTATCTCCTTGGTTAAATTTATTCCTAAGTATTTTATTGTTTTTGATACTATTATAAATGGATTGTTTTACCATTTTTTCAGATGTTTCATTGGTAGCATAGAGAAACACATCTGACCCCAATCAGCCAAAGCAATCTTGAGGAAGAACAAAGCTGGAGGCATCACACTTCTGATTTCAAACTATATCACAAAGTTGTAGTAAACAGAACAGTACTGCACTGGCACAAAACCAGACACACAGACCAATGGAACGGAATTGAGAGCCCAGAAGTAAACCCTTGCATGTACAGTCAACGAATATTTGACAAGGGAGCCAAGAATTCTCAGTGGGCAAAGAATACTCTCTGCAATAAATGGTGCTAGGAAAACTGAATAATCACATGCAAAAGAATGAAACTGTACCCCTATATTACACCAGTCACACAAAAATTAAGTGTATTAACGGATTAAAGACTTAAACATAAGACCTGACACCATAAAACTCCTAGAAGGAAACCTAAGAGAAAAAGCTCCTTGACGTTGGTCTTGGCAATGGTTTTTTAGATATGACACCAAAAGCACAAACAACAAAAGCAAATATAAATGGGACTACATCAAACTAAAAAGCTTCTGCACAGCAAAAGCAGCAATATACACAACAAGGCAACTTAGGGAACGGGAGAAAATATCTGTAAAACACTTATCTGATAAGGGGTTAATATCCAAAATATACTCAACATCACTATTCATCAGGGAAATGCAAATCAAAACCACAATATCACCTCACATTTGGTAAAATGCTATTGTCAAAAAGACAAGGTAACAAGTATTGGTGAGGATGTAGAGAAAATGGAATCCTTATGCAGTGCTGGTGGAAATATAAATTGGTGCAGCCACTAAGGAAAACAGTATGGAGGTTGCTTAAAAAATTAAAAATAGAACTACTGTATAATCCAGCAATCCCACTTCCAGGTATATATCTAAAGGAAATGGAATCAGCATCTTAAAGAGATATCTGCACCTCCATGTTCACCGCCGCATTTTTCACAGTAGCCGAGATACAGAAACAACCTAAGTGTCCACCTACAGATAAAGGGATAAAGAAGATATGGTATACATATTCACAATGGAATACTATTTTGCCGTGAGAAAGAGGCAAAACCTGCCACTTGCAACAACATGTATGGACCTTGAGGGTGTTATGCTAGTGAAATAAGTCACACAGACAAATAAATACTGTATGTCTCACTTATATGTAGAATCTAAAAGAGCCAAACTCATAGAAACAGAGAGTGGAATAGTAGTTACTAGGGGCTGAGGAGTGGGAGAAATGGGGAATATTGGTCAAAGGGTACAAACTTCCAGTTATAAGATGAGTAAGTTCTGGTGATCTAATGTACAGCATGGTGACTATAGTTAACAATACTGTACTCTATACTTGACAGTTGCTAAGAGACTAGATCTTAAATGTTCTCGTCACAAAAAGAAATGGTAATTATGTGAGGTGATGGAAATGTTAACTAACCCTATTGTGGTAATCATTTCGCAATCTGTACGTGTATCAAAGAATCACACTGTATACCTCATATGTACACAGTGTTATATGAAAATTATATCTCAATAAAGCTGAAAAAAAAATAAGTTATTTACTTGTACGACACAGTGATGAATGGGTTAATATATCCAGCAATGGCCCCTATCCCACAAGAGTCGACAACCTAAAGAAGACAGCACTGATACAGGCAAAATTTAAGAAGAGAGAAAAAATACACCGACAACTTTATCAACATTAAAGTTACACATGAATTCAATAAAGATTTACATTATGCTTCCTCCACTTCTCTTTCCTTTTCATGTTCTCTCCAAGAATTTGGAAGGTGAAAAGCAGCCAATATGAAATTATTTAGGGTTAGAAGTCCTTTTCCCAAATCTTTAATCATCTTTGTGACTCTCCTCTGAACCCATTCCAAGGGAATGAAGGAATGGTGGAGCTGACCTCAGAGAGTGGGAGGAAGGGGATGGGGTGTGCAGGGAACAGAGGGTGGTGAGGTAAACCAAGCTCCATGTTTCCACCACAGACACTGTGACGAGTTTGATTTGTGCTCCCTCCCAGGGGCTTACTGCTTCCGGAAGTCCCTGGCGTTATTATGGCTTTCTACTGGGGGTGCAGAAGATAGTGGTCATAGTACCCACCTTTTAATCCTCTCCCCTCAACAATGCTAAAATCTTTAGGATCTAATAAGCATATTATTTCCACCCAAGTGGGCCTGTACTCTCCATGCAAGGCTTCCATTCCAACAGACCATATTGTACTATAAACAGATGTTTACATTTTAAACGATCAAATAGTTCAACCATACGCAAGTGTGATTTAAATGATTACTTACCTTTTTAGGTTGGTCCTGTCACCACTATCTGAGCTTGCCACAGATGAAGTATCATAGGAGTGAGAATCGATAGTATCAATGTTTAACAATGTAGGATCCTCGAGAACAAAAGATTCATCTTCATCATCAGTCTAAATTGGAATAATATGGATAAATAAATTCAAAATTCCAAATACTCTATAAGTCAGAGAGGCATGAATAGGTTTCTCCAAAACACTCGCATGCCTATTTCTGCTTTTCACCTCTACTCCATGCATTGTTATTGACCAGAGAGGCTCAGTACAGAATTAAATTTCAATCTAGACAGATATCTCTCTCTACAGAGAGTTCACCCCCAAAATTTCTTTCTTGCAAGCAGGAGGAACCAGGAACAGTTATGCAGATTATTGTTACCTTCAGAATATTTCTTAAAATTCAAACCTGGATAGATACTTTACTAGTTAACTAATAGCCAATGGCTAATTAGAAAAAAACAAATACCACCTGACTATAAATAGTATACCATGAAAAATATGGCAGGCAGAAAGAAGAAAGGCATTCTGGATTGAAACAGCATGTGCAGACACAGTGATTTCATAGTATGAGTTTTGCCCATGGAAAAGGAAGTAGTCCAAAATGATTAGAGGACATGAGTAGGAACTGGAGGTGATCCTAGAAAGATAGGCTGGGACCCAAACTGTAAAAAGCCTTATATTCCATTAAGATAGATGACAGCAGGGCCCATGTCTATCTTGTTCACCACTGTATCCCTAGTGCCTAGTACAATGCCTGACACAATCAGTATTCATTTATTTAATGCATTAGTGTACTACATATAGTAGGCAGTGAGAAGGCAACTGAGACTTTTAAGAAGTGGACACACATGATGAGAACCATGGTTTAGACAGATAAATAGGGAAGTAAAAAGATGGATGAGGGTAGAGAAGAGAGTCCAGCCTAGTAATGCAGGTCAAGAGAAGGAACAAAGACAAGACATTACTGAGATAAAATCAAGTCTCTGGTAACCATTTAAATGGGAGGAGGGGGGGCCGGTCCCGTGGCCGAGTGGTTAAGTTCGTGCACTCCGCTGAGGCAGCTCAGGGTTTCACGGGTTTGGATCCTGGGCACATACATGGCACCGCTCATCAAGCAATGCTGAGGCAGTGTCCCACATGTCACAACTAGAGGGACCCACAACTAAAAATATGCAACTATGTACCGGGGAGCTTTGGGGAGAAAAAGGAAACACAAAATCTTTAAATGGGAGGAGGGGGAGAAGGAGAAGTCAAAGAAGATTCTAGCCTGAGCAACTAGGCAAAAGGTGATATTACTAATCGGAATAAAAAAGCAGAATAGCAGACAAAGCAGGATCAGGAATTCAGCTTTGACTAAGTTGATTCTGAATGACAGACATTAAAGAAGAATTTTCTAATCCTACCTTCTCTTTCAGCTGGACTACCTTCTGCCTTACCATTTTCATCAATGTTCTTAAGACAGCAGACCATACTCATCATCTCCACTTTCTCCACCTACTACTAGCTACTGACTACTGCTCTTGCTGAAGATACTAGCCATATGCACTGGCCTATTTTCAGTTAACATGCCCTTGCCCTCTCTGCACCATTTAACACTATTGACCATTCCCTACTTCTTAAAACTTTCTCTTCCATTGGTTTCCAGTACCTCTCTTTTCTGGTACTCCTCCAACTTATGTGGCCTTTTCTATCAGTCATTTTCTCTAGTTTCTCTGCAGCCCACCCTTTAAATGATGTTGTTCCCCAGGATTATATTCTTAGTTCTCTTCCTATTTCACACATTTCCTATATGAACAAGAAAATCCACACCTATAGCTTCAATACCATGTCAGGCTAATGACTCCAAAATCTGCATCTTCAGTATCAAAATTTCTCTTGAGGTTTAGGCCCACAGGTACAAGTGCTATTCAGCTATGTCCACAGACAAGTCTGCTAAGAACAGAGCTAGGATTAGCAAGGAGATATTGTTACTTGAGATCTGTACCAGAGTGGAATAATTGCTATAGGGAAAGGGAAAGGAAGTAATTCAGAAATAAGAACTGCAGCACCAAGGTCTTAAGCAAGAGAGTCGATCAGAATCTTATTTGATTTTCTTAAGGAGCCTGGGGACATAATTAAAGAAAACATACCAGCTAAGTTAAGCCAGGGTTGAGGGCTTATAGGCTACGTGAAGGAAAAAGTGAAGGAAGAAGAGTATTGAGAGTACCACTAAGGCTGAATTTAAAATTACTAGCTACACAATAGAGATATCAATTCTCCTAAACTGATGTGTAAAATCTACACAATCCTACCAAATTTCTGCTGATTTTTGTGTGTTTATGTAAGTGTAAACTATAAAGTGATTCTACAACTTACAGAGAAATGCAAAAGACCAAGAATAAGCAAGGCAATCAAGAACAACAACAAAGCTAGAAGACTTGAGACTGCTAGATATAAAGATCTACTATAAAGATTTGAATATTAGAACGTGATATTGGGACAAGTACAGACAGACCAAAAGAATCAGATCTACACATATATGATCACCGGACTGAAAACAAAGGTGACATCACAGACTACTCTTTTCAGTAAATGGTTCTGGCTCATACCTCAATATCACACACAAAAATTTCAGATGAGCTGCAGATCCAAAAGTGAAAGATAGAACAATAAAGATTTTAAAATAAGATAGCATCACCATGACCTTGGAATTTGCAAAATTTTCTTAAACAAGACATCCAAAAAAACTAACTATAATGGAAAAACTTAATAAGCTGAACTATATTAACATTAAGAACTTCTGTTCATCGAAAGAAACCAATAATAGAGTGAAAAAGTAACCCACAGAATGGAAGAAGATATTTGCAATAACATATCTTACAAAGGGCTTATATCCATCACATATAAAGAACTTCTATAAGTAAGTTTTTTTAAAAAAACCAATTCAATAGAAAAGTGGGCAAAAGATATGAAAAGGAAATTCACAAGAGAGATATCCAAATGGCCAAAACATACATCAAGGTACTCAACTTCATCAGTTTTCAGGGAAACTCAGATTAAAACCATGATGTGATACCACTACATACCTGCAAGAATGAACAGCTAAAGTGAAAAGGAGAGAAAAATTCAAAAGTTGACGAGGGTATGTTAACCTCAACCCCCATATATTGCTGCTGGAAGTAGATATTATTACAAGCACTTTGAAAAACCCGAGGCAGTATCTACTAAAGCTGAACATACCCATATCTGATGACCCAGCAATTCTACTCCTCAGTATACACCCAACAGAAATATGCGTGTGTAAGTATACATATGTCTCAATATGTGAATAAGAATATTCACAGCAGCACTCTTCATCACAGCCAGAAATTAGAAATTACACAAATACCCGTAAACAGTAGAACGAATAAATAATGGTGTATACTGAGAACGGATGAACAATTACATGCAAAAACATGAATGAATCTGAAAACATATTGAGGGAAGTAAGTCAGACAACAAAAGCACACAGTGTATAATTCCATGTATATAAAGTTAAAAGCAGGCAAGTTAATCAATGTGGTAGAAGTTAGGAGAGTGATTATCGTGCAGTTGAGTATTGAAGGGGCACAGGACGAGCTTCTGGGGTGCTAGTAATGTTTTACTTCTTCATCTGGATTCTGCTTACACAGGGGGTTCAGTTTGTGAAAATTCACCAAGCTGTACATTTACGATCTGTGTACTTTTTCTATCTGTAGGTTATACTTGAACAAAAAGTTCAAAAGAAGTTTCTGGCTGCACAATCCAATAGTAGGATTGAAGTAAAGCCAGGACTGCTTTCAGGGACTGGGAGACTAGGAAGGATCAAGAGACCTGGTCTCAATGAGGTCAAAGAATAGGGTCAAAGAATTCCCTTAAACAAAGTGAGGGAATGGACAGGGGCTGCAGGGTAGTTACAGTTAGAGAATGGAATTTAAAAATTAAAAACCTAGAGGTAGCACAGTTTCAAAGGATGACAAGGCCTAGTAACATTATTTCATGCCCTAAATTCTGAGATTCAGGATGTCTTGATAATCTCTAACTTTCCATTCTGTGAAATATCTTGGATGCCCATTTCTTGCCAGTCTCTCTTCAGGCTGATATTATTCATATCATAGAAGATATGCACACACATATCCTGGATCAAGTGCTTATTCATACTTTCTACTTCTACCCTTTTCATTTTTTCCTTTTAAAAATAATTTTCTTTAATATTTCTCCCCTCTTATAGTCTTCACAATGTTCTATAACTTAAATTATTTTTGCTTCCACCTACCTACCTGCCTAGCTCCCTGGAGGTGCGAAGGCTGGCCAATTTCCAGTCCCATTTCTCTCTCAAAGTCAGAGACAGTCACATAGCACTTTAAAATCCCAGCATCTAACACTATGACCCAAATACACTAGGCACCCAAATTACTCCTGAGGATGGTAACAGCATTATCTTCTCAGTAAACCACTAACAACTACTTACTGTTCATCATAGATAAGAAAACTGTGCAAAGATGGTTTTCCTTCATTACGAATTAGAGTCTCATTTATGAGCATAATTTTCTTTGCTATTACTTTATAAATATGTACAAATAGGGCTTTGTACACAGTCCTCTACAATTATTTTTACTTCACACTTAGTAAGATAATTGAAATGAGCATGTGATTAAGACCATGTTAACAAAATTAACTAAAATTAATCTCTTCATCTCTAAATGAAAGATTTCCGCTATATTAGAAAGCAAAAAATAAAAGAAACTTCACTGTTGCAGAATATTCTCTCATAGACCAAAGCCTTCTTTGTCCAAACTAAAAATTCTTAAGCGTCAACACAGATCAGACAGAACATTTTTGAAGTTAAAATATATTCAAAGCAACAGCAACATCAAACTGATATAAAAAACAGAAATAAAAATGATACAAGAAAAACGAAAGAATTTACAGAGAAAGTAGTTTCCATCCTATAAAGTGTTGGCTAAAAGCCTAAAAATATAGGTAAACAAGTGATAAAGACCAAGGTCCACCTCATTCAGAGCCATGGATCAGTGGGCATTTTTGTTGGGAAAGCTTGGCATCACTATCTTCTAGAAAATACAACCTGGGATCTGAAATAGATTTACACAGAAAAAAAAAATCTTTCTCAAATTAGAAGCTAAAACCTCCAAGGGAAGTCTTAAGCAAGTTTCTAAAAGATCAAGAAGGCTGAGCTGAAGAACTGTCAGCAGATGCAGAGCACATAAAAACTGGCACGCTTCACCAACATGTACTCCCACAAAGTTCCTTTATAAAGCCTTTATGATCTGATAATTCAGAAAAGAATAACATCATTTCAAAACTCTGAAAAACTCTTTAATAGAGATGGTGCTCATAAGATAACCTATGGAGGTTTTGTTTTCTTCATCTAGAAGAGTGATGAGGCACATTAAAGGTTGTGGATGCTTCTTCATTATCAGAGGATGAGCTATCTGAATATCACTGGTAGAGATAACATTATCAAAACACAATACAAATCTCAAAAGTGACATGACTTTAATATTTCAACTTACTCAATAAAACATTTTCTTTTAAATCTACCAAGCACAAGGCATTGCACTGGGCACAGAAATGAACAAGACATGGCTTCTGCCCTTGAGAGGCTCACAATCTAGATCAGCACTGTCCAACAGAACTTTCTGCAACGATGGAAATGTTCTGTATCTATGCTGTCCACTATAATAGCTACTAGTCACATGTGGCTATTTGAGCACTTGGAATGTGCCTTGTACAACTAAGGAACTGAAGTTTTAATTTTTATTTAACTAATTAATTTAAATTTAAATTGCCACGTGTGACTAGTGGCTCCCATACCGGACAGGGAAAATCTAGATACATACACTATAACTAACCCGGAAAGTATCAAAATTAATGACAATGACCTTTAATATATACTTACTTCATTTAGTATGCTTTCCAGTGTTGGAGGAGTATCAACTTGAGGAATATCAAACTCCTTGTCATCAATCTAAATAAAGAAAAGAAATTAATGCTCACAGAATGATGCTATCCCTCTTATAATCATGAATGTTTTAATTGATAGAATCATTATCAATAAACAAACATACCACCAAACTGATTGAGAGCCAACTCAATAATCCATGGTAATAGGGATCAGGTCAAAAGACCACAGAATTATTCCCCTTCCTATCCACATACTGAATGATTACCAAGGACAAGGACAATTATAAACTGACTGCACCATCTTGACAGCCCTTTCCAGAAAGCTTCTATTGAAGGACTTTGGCCTCTATTTTCTTAAGCATGACAAAACAGCAAGTCTTATGACAAGCCCTAATTTTCTAAGTCTGGACATAAGTCATAAGCAATATACGAAGGCCTGACTTGCATTTCCTAGTTATTTCATAAATTATGGTGAGAAATGATTAGGTCAAACAACTTATTAAATATTCTCATGGTCACACAATCGTATTAATATAGTATCAAATCAATGGGAAAACAATCACTGTGCAAGAATTCTAAACCTACCACTGGCTTAACAATCTTGAGAAGTCATTTAACATAGCTGCACTTCAGTGTCTTCCTCTAGAAAATGGATTATCAGTGTTGTGAAGCTCAATTGAGAACATGTATTAAAGTGTTTCATAAACTGTAATGAACTATACAAATGAAGAGTAATATTATCTCATAAAACTGTACACAGACTATTAGTCCATGCAAAAATGAGAGATTTAGAGTTTTGGGTCATAAAGTACACTCTAACCAATATTTTGGTTAAATATCATCACTTGACAAAAAGTTGAATTTTTACCAGATCATTTTTGAACTCCAGTTCCTTGTCCAGATCTATGTAAGAGAACTTTGAAAGTGAAGCTTCTAGATTGAAAGACTTATTCAGTTCTTCTTCAGTAGTCTTGGCACAGAGGCTCTGTTCCACATTTTCATGGTCTGGTTCATTTTCCATGTTTACTTTTAATAATTGTATTCAGTCAATCCAAGCAAATTTTTGTTGGTTTTGCGTTGTGGCCTTAGATCATGATGATCTGAATGATGATCTCTTTTCAAAGAAGAAAAAATATATATCACTTAGATTTCTCAACTGGACATTACAAAGAGTGACTTGGTCAGACTTTTGTGGAAACCAATTCGTCACTTGGTGATCTGATTATAAGCAAAGAGAAATCAACACAAGGGTACAGGGTATGATATGGGTGGGGCAGTTTCTATGGGAGCACAAAGGAGGAACATCTAACAGGAAGTGGCCCACCACACGTAAGTATGTTGACAGCGATAGACTTGGGATAAGCTCAGCCACTAGACCCAGTACCAACTAGATTTATGTACCTAATAGCACGAGGGTAAAGTGGTGCCAAAAGCTGCAATTAATCCCTTCCTCACATTCCCCAGACCTCAGAGTAGATCTCCAGTTCCCCTGGAGAGAAGCACATAGACCAATTTTGTCACTGCCATCCATACAAGGCCACAGATCACTCAAGGTGCTTAGTGTAGACACAGAGGGCTCAGAATGGACAGCTAGTCACTTGCTATGATACTAGCAAATGTAAGGGTTCAGATCTATTAGGCGAGACAACAATGATGCCAGGATACAATAGTTCCAAAGCCAACTAGCAATTTCTAGAAAGAAAGTTAGTCATAGAGAAACATGGACATTTTCAGGGAAAACTGAAATACTAAAGAAAAAGAAATGCATGCAATGTTGTGTATATTTCACAGCTCTAAATGATACGATATACTAAAAAGATAATTTGGTTTACTAGCAAAATTGTCTAGAAAATAACCACCTGCAAAACTTCTAGAAAACTGAAAACACATTCAGGAAAAAAATTATATGTTTAATGATTAAATTTGTTCTTAAATGTTTTTAGTTTGGTGTCAGAATTAGGCTACAAGTAACCAAACTTTAAAAAGTCCATCACTGAGCTCTGCTCGTTTAGAATAAAGAAGCAAAAACATGCAAATAGAACACACACCATAGCAAAAATTATAATAAAAATAGTCATTTTGTTTTCCAGACGTGTTTCCCGCAGTACACAACTAGCAGTAACTCTCACTGGGAAGCTTTTTCAAGCTACAATACTGCCAGCAGGGGGCATAATCGCCACCCCATCACCAACCCTCCCCATCGTAGGAGCTTCTCTTACTCCTTAGAGAAATGGAAGCAGAAAAAGAGGCTAACAACCACTGAGTCATAGAAAGAACTAACTTTTTCAAAGGGAGTCGAGAATTAGTTGTTACTGTTTTTTAAAAAATAACATGCCCCAAACTGACAATATTATCTAATTTAAGGTTCATTTTTCTTAGTACTTACAATGAATTTCACTTCCTTCCACGTTTCATTTTTATCATATTAAAAGAAATGAATATCTACTATGTGTAAGACATGTAGATTCATGGAGACTGATTTTTCAAGAGCTGAAAACAATTTTTCTAGCTAGTACATTTGGTATATTACCAAATACAGACTAATTTCTTTCACATGTTACAGAAGATAGACTGTAAGGCTCTGTCCTACAAACACATGGTATCAAATACATTCCTGGAAGACATAACAGGCCACGCCGTATCTGGCAACATTTGAAAGCAGCTTTCCAATCCTGGTTACCAAATATACTGCTCCTTTTGCAATGAGCCAAATGCGGTAGCAATATAAGCATTCATATGCCTTTCTGCAAAGAAGACTGAACTGGCTCATGACAAATTACTTCTTAAGAAAGTTCACTCTTATTTGGACCACTTAGCAAAAATGATTACAATTAGGCAAGGGGTTTGCAAACATGCACAATCTAATTCACGTGCAGTGGTTCCTGAGGACAGTTATTAAGTTTCATTCTCATACATTTAAAAAAAAGAAGAAAAGACCACATAGCCCCCCAAAAAGAAAGTTTTAAATGATTTAATAACCTAAAATGTTTCACTCTTCACATTTGTCTTTCCAAAATAACTCAGAAAGGCAAGCACTTTTTTCTGGCTTTTTTGATATCTCCTATCTGGAGTTAGTAAGAGGCTCTCAGGACAGCTCAGCACCTGGGAACACCGATACCACACTCAAGAAGTTTCAAGCGATCAAGCATTCCCTAGAGAATACCACACTCAAGAAGTTTCAAGCGATCAAGCATTCCCTGGAGAAAGAACATCCTGCCAGTTGCCCTACTCCATTCCCAACCTTCACTTCACTGAGCTCCCGTCATCGTGGAGTGGTGGCAAAGTGGAAAGAACAGAAGCCAAAGAGTCAGTTAAAATTACATTTGAATCTGGACTTTACCAGTTCCTATCTGCGACCTTGGTCAATCTGCCGACCCTTTCTGAGCCCCTCTACTTCTACATTTGTAAGATGAAATACTGCGGCCATTTGCGTTGTTTGCCCAGAGAAGAACCTCTCTCTTGTTTTGGGAAAGGCTCCTTCAAACCATGTGGTTCTTGTGGAGGCTGCCAATCAAAAATCTCCTGTAATAGAGGTTGCATCATATAGCCAGAGTCCTTTCCCAGGATTCACTAAAAGGGAACTGGTGAGGAAGAGCCGTTTCCACTAGAAGAGGAGGAAAGAGTGCCTTGGTATCTTCAGGCCCCAGGTTGGTCTTCCACGATGTTAGCTCTGGCCATAGCCTCCTGGTACATTGGCTACATAAGCCAACAACTCTCTTAACTCTTTTAATTTTTTTTTTTTTTTTTTTTGGTCACTTACAATTGAGAGTCCTGACTCTTAGGAATGTAACTACCTATTTTGCTGGGCTACTGTGAGGAATAAATGACATAATGAGCGTAATGCATTTAGAACAATGCCTGGACACAGAATAGGCTTTCAAGAAACACTAGCTATCATCATTTAACATTTCCTCAAGATTTCCAAATTCTTCTAAAGTTAAAGACCCTGAAACAAGATCCAGTACTTTTGGAAAGGTCTAGCCAGCGCTAAGCATATCAAAAGGACATAATATCATACTAGAAGTTTCTCCATGAGCTAAATGGTAAGTGTTTTATCTAAGGTCAGTACAGCCCCCTGCAAAGCACCAGAGACCCTTAACAAAAATGTTTTATTATGATAATAAGTGTTTTATACTACTAACTCATTCTAAAATTATTCCTTTTCTTACACCAACTTCCTCTTTTGTCACTTACCAGTAGTTATTCCTTTCTTTATGTCAGTCAGCAAATTTTTCCAACCCAAATAAACCTGCTGAATCAAAAGATCACCATGCTCGGATTTTTTTTTTTAAAAAAGGAGAGTTCACTAGAGCAGCTTCTGTACATGTTTTAGAAATTGAGTTGTATCTGTGGTGGGCAGAATAATACTGCCCAACCATGCCCATCCTCACCCCCAGAACCGTGACTATGTCACCTCACATGTCAAAAGGAACTTTGCAGATGTGACTAAATTAGGATCTTGAGTTGGGGAGATTATCCTGGATTATCCAGGTGAACCCAATGTAATCACAAAGGTCTAAAAGTGGAAGAGGGAGGCAGAAGAGAGCGTCAGAGAAAGAGGTATGACAACAGAAGCAGGGTCAGGAAGATGCTATGTTGCAGGCTTTGAAAATGGAGGAAGGGTGCCAGGAATTTAGGCAGTCTCTAGAAGCTGCAAAAGGTAAGGAAAAGGATTCTCTCCTTGAGCTTCCAGAAGGACGCCAGACCCACCACAGATTGATATTAGCCTAGGAAAACCGGTGCTAGACTTGTGAACTACAGAATTGGAAATAATAAATTTGCTTTTTTTAAGCCACTAAGTGTGTGGTAATTTGTTACAGCAGGAATAGGAAATGAATACACTAACAAACTTCAATTAATTTGTTTCCGACCACATCGCCAACATTCTGAAATACTAACCTCTCCCTTGTCACTTGGTGTTGCCCAAATATTTATTGAGCAAGCTGTTCATTCCAGTATGCAGACCAATGATGAAATGCTTAATATATGACACAAGATTACACACTTGATGCAGATACTGCCTTCAGACATCACTTAAGTGCTACCCCAGCACCAAGGTTGGCAATGAACTACTGATAATCTCCTCCTGAGACAGAATGCTACAACTAGTTCTTCACCCAACCATCCTGTGATAGAGTGTTTTTATAGTTCTTAAGGTCACATCGATTGTTTCTTAGTCTCTCCCAGAATGAAATTAGATTAATCTGACAGGAAATGTATATCACAGAATTATGATTACCCAGTATGCTGTCCTCTTCTGAGTGCTAATAACTAATATTTTAATAGTTCCAATTTAAGATTATCTGACATCTTGACAGTTCCCAAAGCTACTCTCTCTTAATTAATAAGGTTATTCTCATTCAATTAATAATAGATTCAAGGACCATTAAAAAAATACATGTACCATATAAACTGCAATGACCCCATTATGACACTGGCCAACAGGTTAATGTGAAACTTGCACCAGCTGTTTTTTTTTTTTTTACCATGGCAGATATTCCCAACTGTTCTCAAGTTCCAGGATCCTACTTAATTCACTGACATTCTTTTCCTCCCAAAAGTGTCATATGAGACACTTTTCACATTACAATGAAATCAAATCAAGGTTTGTTTTAATTTACTATATCCCCAGGAAGATATCATGAAATCACGATATGGAAATAATTTTACATGCCAACTTTGTTTCTGGCCTTCCCAATCCAAGTATTTCTCTTCTTCCATTTCTTTGCTTTGTCTCATCTTTTTGTGGTTTGTTTTGTGAAGAAAAACATAATAGAGGACTCATTTCTATTGGTTTTCTATTCTCTTTCTCTGGTAAATGGACTCATTTTTAACAGTTCCCCAATGCCTACAGAATAAAATTCCAAATTCTAAACCCATGATTCCAGACATCACATGAGCTGGCCCTACCTTCCTTTACAACTAAATTTAGTATTTGTACTCAGAGTCCTTCATAAAGAGCTTCCACTTCCCCTCCAGGTCTGCTCACACTAGTTCACCTTCTCTTTCCTTTCCCTCTCCATTTTCCTAAGTTCCTTCTTTCTTTCCTTCCTTCCTTCTGGGCACCTTCCTTCCTTAAGCATCCTCTGAATCCAGAATACATGTCTTCTTTAGAACAGTGCCTTGGCACTTTTCTCACATTGATTCATTAGTTGACTTAGCACATGACTATGCCTCTTCTCTCCAACTAGACAATAAAAATGGGGCCATGTTTCTTTGTTTACTCCTCATCACTGGGCTCACTCATTTGCATAACTATGTAGACATTCAATAAATATTTGCTGATTAACACAAGAACTGGAAGACAAGAATAACACCCGTGTTGCAAATTAAATATGACTTTTATTACCTGTAATTGTTAAGCTTCAGAAGATATTGACTCACAGCATATAGGGATCTATGCCACAATTAGCCAAGTTATAATTGAGTTCTACCTTTATGTAATCAGGCTTGTCAACTACTGCTGATCATATTCATCCTTCAGATATCAGCTAAAACTTTGCTTCCTTAAAAAAGCCATTTTTGGGCCAGCCCTGTGGCCATGTGGTTAAATTCCCACACTCCGCTTTGGTGGCCCAGGGTTTCACCGGTTCAGATCCTGGGCACAGACTCAGCACCGCTCACTGAGCCATGCTGAGGCGGCATCCCACACAGCACAACCAGAGGCACTCACAACTAGAATATACAACTATGTACTGGGATCTTGAGGAAGGAAAAAAGAAGATTGGCAACAGTTGTTAGCTCAGGTGCCAATCTTTAGGGGGGAAAAAAGTCGTTGTTGTCCTGCTCAACTAGACTAGGTTCCCTGTTAATATGCACCTATAACATTGTTCTCCTCTTTCATTACACTTACCACATTGCAATCATTTTTTCAGTGTCTGAACCACCATTCTCTTCCCTCAACTGGAATGCAGGTTCCAGGAGAATAGCAGGTTCCGGGAGAGCAAAGACCAGATTTGCCTTGTTCACCATTATATTCCCAGTGCCTAATTACACAGTAGCTAATCAACCCACCAACATCTATCCACCCATCTCTCCATCACTCCCTCTCTCCCACCCTCCCTCCCTAGGTAAGCAGCCATGCAACACTGCATCACTGGTTTCCAGAGCCTCAAATAGCAGTTCTGGTCATTCAAAATAAGATATAGTCATTCTACTACAAAGCCACCCACTTGCAAGTTCCCATCCTTGCATCCAGATGAGATTTTTAAAAATCTCTAACACTGCTCTTTTTTAATGACCATTTAGCTCATGTATAATATGACACAAACTCTGCAATTTCAGATGTTTCATGTTCTTTTGCATTAATTCAGCCCATGGACCAAGATGAAAACAGTAGAAATGTATCATCTATCCATTCAATTTACAGGAATTCAACTACTATCTTCAGCAAAGGGAAAGAGAAAGAAATGATTTTACTCAGAGCCAGGGACTCTGCGCACCACTCCCCTAAGGAACTATATGCTTCAGAGTGAGTATGGGATGGGAGATGGACATTGTTGTCCTTTTGGTCAATTTCAGTTCTTGCATGCTTCATACATAAGCAATCTATTTACCTGTGCTCAAAATAAACAGCATGCTCTTCCAACATGGAGCAAAAGCTGGCTGTGCTGGACTTCCTGAGAGATCATCTGTCAGTCTCCAACATGACTCCTTCTCACGGTACTTTTTCAAGGGTACTCAAATTTCACCTTACTCATGGACTTCAGAAACAGACCCTGTGTTAGATGCAATGCTACTACGTACTGGGCTGAGCTGCTTACTTGACCCCCAAGTTTCTTTCCAAGAATAGGTTACATTTAGGCAACTACTGCCCACAGTGCTTGGAGCTGCCACAACGAAACAGCCTAAACTTCTCGAGGTAAATGTCTAAAGGAGAAGAGTGGTCATTTAAAACTTAGGAAGTACATATGAACAACAAATGTTAAAAAGAAAAGTGAGAGAAAGGAAGAGTGTCTGAGACCTACCTGTGCATGGTACTAAGTTACTACTACGAACTGTCAAGCACAATCTGCTAGTAGCACCATTCTAGAAAAGAAAAACTAACCCTCTACAATATACAAAACAATAAGAACTAAGTCTTATAAATATCTACATTATATATAAACCCTAGTATTATTCATCAGTTGTATATAAATATGTGTATGAGGTGATAAGTTAAATGAATGACAGAAAAAATCATCACTTCTTTCCAGCTTCTAATAAATCTCCACTATTACAAGAATCTCTCTTTAAAGACCCAGGCCAACCTCAGAGAACTCCTCCTAAGAAGGGCATGGGCCTTGTGTAGGCTGAAACAGATTCCCTTTTCTTTTTTCACTGACTGGTATGGTGAATTCTTATAAGTCAAATGCACAGAAGATAGGATTCCACTCAGTTATCAGCTGAGTAGATGCTGGCTTTCCCACTCATCTTAATTAATTATATTGTCACCCCAATTTCTCTTGGTTAGGTGTCAAGGAGGACGTAGAGTCACAAGAGATTTCTTCTTTTTTTTTTTTGAAAGAGGCAAGTTTTTTGCTAAACTACGGAGTGAAAAACAAAGTTGATTACAGTCAAAACATCCCAGCACCTTTACCACCTTTCCTTTGGGAAACAGCTCCTCCTGCACGCATGCAATTTTGGTGGTGCTGCTAATCAAACACCCTAGCTGCCTAGCCAGAAGAGTAGGCCCATGATATTGTCATATCCAACCTGGCCAATCAGCGTCCTTCCCTGGGATTTGTAAATACTGAAGGCAGGAGTTTTCTCTTCACTCTGGGATGCTTAGTCTTGGAAGATGTAACACAGGAGCTGTTACATAGAATGAAGATAATTCAAACACGAATTCAAGATTCACTTAAGAACAGCTTGATCTTACAAATATATACAGGTGATACCTGAAGCTGTGAAGAGAAGATGCTATCTAACCTCTGTGAAAACTATAAACAGATCCAAAGTTAAACATACTTCATTAAGTTCAAAAGGCCTTACTTTTCATTCACTTAGATAACTGACATTGGATGTCACAATGGTTTAAATGTCTCTAAAACAGTGAGATAAAGCTGAAAATCATCAAGATGCCCAAATATCCTGGAAAACAGAAAATATCCACCTGCTGATGCTAGTCCAGGTAGAAAGGAAATATATAAAGGACAATCAACATACTATTCTCTTAGAGCTCTGGAAAGAATTTTCTCACATTATGTCTCTGACATATGAAGCCTAATAGTTCAACAAGAATTTTTCCCCCATTTATCTTTATTCTGTATTCTATGGAACACACCAGCTATTGCCAGAAGATTCAAAATCTACTCTTTGCTTAAATTTAACCATGAGCAAAGCCACGTCTTAGACAGAGGTCCTCCATCCCCATTTGTATTATGGACCTCAAACACACACACCTGACGCATAATTATCTCCCAACCACAGACATCTGGAGTAGAGTTGGTGCCACAAGTTAACAGCCATGTTTGTTTTGCTTGTATTTTTAGGGGGCAGGGGGGGATGGAGGGGAGAGTGTGGTAGAGGGTGGGCAATGCAGAGGACACAAGCCTTCCTGTCCATCCTAACATTACGGTATAGAGGAGGCATGCCTATTTGGAAAAGGCTCCCCAGCAGTTCCCGATACCCCATGGCCGTGGACCCTCTTTCACCCATCCTACTTCATCCCACCCTGACTGCGTCTGAAGCACACCAAACACTTTAGACTGCTCCCTCCCCAGGTACCACACCTGGAGAACTAACCAGGACACAGGAGCAGCCTCCAACTTTAGAGACCCACCTGTCCCCCAGCTATCCTCACTTTGGGGCACACTTTGCAGGCAGAGACAAACTGGCACCAGCCTCACAGGGTGGTCACCCCATCTAAACCTCGGCCTCATACTCGGGGAGCACATTCATCCCAGTCCTCGACAGACAGAGGAGCCCACACCGGTGCCCCAGGCCCGAAAGGCGGGGTGCACACCTGTTCCGTCCGGGGGAGGGGGTGATGACCCGCCTCCTGACCTCACAATCAGGGGAGCGGGCGCACCTATCCCTCAGCCTCACATTCGTTCGGAATCAACAAGTGGAAACCGCCTGACCCAGTTCCAGGCCAAACGCAGGACACGCCCCCCGCCCAGAGTCAACCCCGCCCTGCCGGTGGGCCCGGTCCAGGTGGCCTGTCAGCGGCTCCGTCAGCCTCACCGAGGCCTCGCCGCTGTCGCGCGGGGGAAAAGGCCCAGGCTCAGCGACCTGGCGCGCGTTCTCCTCCGGTCCGGGGTACCGCCCTTGACGACGGTCCCAACCAGCTGGCCCGCCTTCGCGAGATTTCTTACCTACGCTGGCAGCCACTCCACTCCAGGACCCCCAAGGCCCACGTGACCCCGCCCCCTGCTCTAGCCTCACGCACGCGCAGTATCTACCACTGGCGGCCACGCTTCCGCTTTCCTCTTCTGACCCGCGTCTCTCCTAGGCGGTCCGCCCCTTACGCCACGCCCCCATTTAAAGGGCCAGAGATACACTCGCTCACCCCCAGGGACTTAATGGGTGATTAACATATTGGGGACCAAGAGAGTGGAAACGTCAGAGGAGGAACACAGACCAATAAATAGCAGTCCTTGAGATGAGAAGAGAAACCCTCCTCCAGCCCTATATCAATGAATTCACCTGGCCTTTAAAAAAGTGAACCTACCTGCAGCCAGCCCAGAAAGGGCAGTTGAGTCCCTGCTGTTAAAGGCAAACATAGAATTACTAGCTTTTTATTTTGCCAAGTAAGGACCATAAAGACACACACACTAAAAGCCAACTATTATTTTCTAATTTATCCTCAACATGGTTCCATAAAAATATATTTTTTTCCTTTTTTTTTAGAGATTGGCACCTAAGCTAACAACTGTTGTCAATCTTTTTTTCTTTTTCTTTTTCTCCCCAAAGCCCCCCAGTGCATAGTTGTGTATTCTAGTTGTGAGTGCCTCTGGTTGTGCTATGTGGGTTGCCGCCTCAGCATGGCCTGACAAGCGGTGCCGTGTCCGCGCCCAGGATCCAAATCGGCCCCACAAAAATACATCTTAACACCAAAAACATAGGAGAGACTCTCAGATAAAGGAGTATCTTTTAGGTGAATAAAAATGTATGTTTATTTCTCTTATTCCTCCTGAAGAAAGATGAAAGCTTTCAGGACGGGCTGTTTTTTAGAGCCACCACTGTAGATAACATTGACCCCAGGGCACAGATCTTATGCCTGCTGGGGCCTGTTGTCAAGCAAATAGGAGGAAGAACACCAGGAGATGCTCCTGGAAGGAGATATAGAAAATATTCAGTTGGGCAGACATTTATTGAGCATCAACTAGGTTCACTACACGTTTGGGCCTTTGAAGAAGGACACAGTCCCGTCCTCCAGGGACACTTTCTCTAAGAACTCAGTGTCAGATATAGCTACAATACAAGGCAGGCTGTTTTGAGTGGCATAAAAAAGGTAGGAGAATATCACTTCAGGATCACAGATGAGGGAAAATGGTGGAACATGTCCAGGAGGAGGTGGTATCTTATTAGGGCCCTGAAAGGTTTCAGTAGACAGAGAACAGGGAGATTGCCTAGCTGAGTGAACAGTGGGATCAAAGGCAGTATGAAGCAAGATTGGGGACCAGCTGCTGGCTTCATGTGGCTGTGGCATGGGCTGTGGCTTTCAAAAGGTTTTTGATCATCACTCAAAGTAAGAAATACAGTTCAGCCATGACCTAGTGTGTGTGTGTGTGTGTGTGTGTGTACAACCTAAGATAGCAATTGCCTTTAGTATGTGCAATACAACTTGGTATTTTCTATTCTATTCTATTCTTTTTTTTTAATGCTGTTACTAAATTGATTTCATGACTCACTAATGCATAGCAACACATAGTTTGAAAGCACTGGTGTTGAATGTGTTAGAGGCCCAATGGGATATGAGGCTGGAAAGGCTGGGACAAGATCCAGGAGGACACTGAATGCCAAGGGGGATGGGGGAGGGGGTCTGCTTTTCTGGTAAGAGCCTCTGGAGGTTCTTTAGCAGAGGAGTGGTATGACTATAGCTGTGTTTTAGAATTTTGGAGACTTGCCTTTGCTTCTGAATATCACATTTTTAGAGGAAAACTATTAAACAAGAGCCTGTCTGGAACAGGGTAAGCAGGCTGGTGAGATCAGAAACCCTATCTGATAGAGAACTGTTGAAAGGGTTGGGCAGAAAGAAAATTGACGGAAGTTGGGGAGCGGGGTTATGGCAGTGGGAGGTGGGAAAGGTTGCTTTTTGAAATATCTCTACAGCAGTTGTAGACTTATTTTGTGTAACTCTAGAAATTAAATCTGGGACCTGTGACAGATGTTGTAAGGAAGCAAGTCCAGTTGACAATTAGGAGTCTTTTAGGGTGGTCTAAGCTAACATGCCATCTATTACAGGGTTATTTGTATTAATTAAAAAATAAAAATATTGCATGCTCATTATATAAAGTTTAAAAATTCAGGAAACATAAAAAGTAAAGCAGAAATTACCCACATTCCAGAAAAAAAAGCACTCATCATTTTGGCTAATTTCTGTTGTGTCTTTTTCTTTGCACATTTATGTTTTTGACATAATAGAACTATATAGAATATATGGCTCTGTATCCTGTTTTTTTTCCCCTCCATGTTTTCCCCTCCATAGTCTTGAGCACTATCTGCTGTTATTAAAATTGTTCACAAATATTATTGTAATGGCTACATAATTCTTAATAATTTAGTTTATTTCATTATTTTTGGACATTTAGGGGGTGTCCTGTTTTTTCACTGTTAACAAGAACATTGCCAGGAATCTCCTTAGACAGAAATCTTTGCCCACACTTTAAAATTATTTCCTTAAGGTGGAGACCTGTAAGTGAAATTACTGATGCAAAGACTTTGAAAGCTCTTAAGTCTGTGAATACCTACTACCAAATTGCTTTCCAGAAAGGTCAGGCCAGTTTTCATTCTCCCCAGAAATGCTCCAGGGTGCCCATCATACATACCCACCAGCATTTATTCTATCTTTTTAAAAAGGTTTACCAATTTGATGGAAGAAATGGCCTCTCATTTTAATTTGTATTGGATTACTAGTGGAGTGGGATATCTTCATAAATTTATCAACCCTTAACAGTTATTCTGGGAATGCAGTTTCACTGCCTCTGTTTGAATTTGTGATTGGCAAATAGTACGAAGTGAACTGTTGCAGACTTATGAGAAAAAAACAGAGAGAGACTTTAAAAATAAATGATGTGGTCACACCAAGTTATATCCAAATTATATTGTGGTGTACCATACAAACAAAGGTTAGTGGGAGAATTGAGTCATCACAAGGAATGTGGTTAAATAGGTCTGTGCTCTTGCAGTTGGGAAAATTTCCATGTTGTGAGGGGTGATTTGGTTTCAACAAATATCATTCCTTCTATAAAATCAACATAGTAAATTTTAATTTTCTCATTTGGTAGTTTTGTTTGTATTTAATTTACAAATTTGTTTTGGTTTTATAGATTCATGAAATTTGTAAAAACAAGGAGTCTTTTCCTTAGTTTTGTGTTTATATATATATATATACACACATACACATATATGTATGAAACATTATAAAAAATAATTTAAGCCAACTCTAGAGATCTGTGAGAATCTTTTTCCCTTATAAGGAATCTGAACATTAAGTTTGAGAAACTTGATATGGAAATTTCTTAAAGTTTCATTTGTAATTATCTAAACATAGGCATTGGGATTTGTTTTTTTAAAAAAAGGTAAAAATGATGTCAGCTTATATATTGGAATTTTTCTATACAGAATATTGTTATGATTTTCTTGCCTTTGGAAAGAGCACCAAAAGCTATACTATGTTTGGGGTTCAGAGAGTATGTTTTGGCTTAAAATGTACCATTCGTCAAAGTTAACTTTGTACAGGTCAGTAGGACCTAGACAAAAGAAGGTTTGGATTTATTAAACTTGTCTTTTAAAGTAAGACAAAGCACTAGAACAGATAGCAATTAAAATGGAACTTCTATGAATCGGTCTTAGGAGAAATTAAACCCATGAGAAAAAAGCCCATTGTAGGAGGCTTGGGGCGTGAGAATCAGTGAGGACTGACTGTTCTGATGGCCAGCAGCCAGAAGGGGAGCACCACCCGAAGGCTGCTGCAGCTGGATGATGTCCTGATACTCAACCCTCCTCTTCCAGCTCTCCCCATGACAGGAAGGATGGAGAGTATGGGCCAGACATTGCTGTTAACATTGCATCCAGAGTGAGCCACATCTATCCTGAAAAAATGCCAAATACCTGGGAACAAGGGACAGAGACTAGGAGATGGGTGAGTGTGTCATTTTTTTCCTGGATCACAATCACAAAATAATTGACGCCTTTTCCTTTCTTCAAGAGGAATCTGGTATACAGGATTTGTGATTGAGTCAAACATTCAAGTCTCTGGAGGGAAGTGAAATTGGTTATTGTAAGTTACTCAAGCTGATCCAGATGTCCTTCTCAGGTTCCCTCTGCCTGGAATGTTCTTCCTTCCAAGATAACCACAGGACTCACACTCCCTCACCTTCTTCGCCTTCTTCACCTTCTTCTGGGCTTTGCTCAAGTGCCACTGCGTTAGTCAGGGCAATAAATACAAGGCAGATGAGAGAGGAGTACTTTCCTCCATCCAGGTCTCAGGGACTTAGGTTCTTTCCATCTGGTGACGCTCGCAGCTGAACACATGGCCTCCAAGTTCTCCGAGGCAGGGAGATGGAAAAGGCTCACTAGCTCTGAACCGCCTTGACCTGAAAGTGACATGTACTCCTTCTGCTCACAGTCCATTGGCCAGCGGCAGCCACCTGGCCCTGCTTTACTGCAATGAAGCCAGGAAGTGCAGAGGAGCACTCAGGATATCTGGGGAGCTGCATCCATGGGGTCTCCCCTGACTACTCCTCCCTTCCCCAGCACTCCCTTGCCACCCTTTCAGGCTTTATTTTTCTCTATAGTACTTATCCAACATACTGTATATTCTACTTATGTATCTGTTGAGTTTCTGTCTTCTCCACTAGTATATAAGCATCATGAGAGTGGAGATTTTTGTCTGCTTCATTTATGGTTTTATCCCCAGCATCTAAAACAGTACTTGGCATATAATAGGAGCTCCATAATTTTTTATTAAGTAAATGAATGAATCCTGCAATGACAGTCTATATTTGCGTGTGGAGGGGGTATCACATGCACCGACCTGAGGATGATTCTCAAGGAATAAGGACCCCCCTGCCCCCCGACTTCTAGCAGTCACAAGCATGTATTGAGTCCCCACTATGTGCCAGGCACCATGCTTGGTGCCAGGAACACAGATATGAGAAATAGTATCTGATGCCTAGCCAGGAAGAAACAATAAAAAATGCAATATTTATCAAGATTCATAATAGGAATAAATTATGGGAGCTAAAAAGTCCAAATTCTTCTGACCTTTAGAAATAATCAGGTT